TAGGGTGAGGCCAGTGAGGTAAACTAAATTCTAGTCTAATATTCCACCCAAGGTGAAGCTTCTTGTAAGCTGACATGCTTTTTATTTGCTGCTTACACTTTACATTACCTCCAAGACTGAGTCTGTTGTCATTCCTAAAGTCAAATATAGTTATTTTTGGACTTTGGAAGAGTATGAGGTAAGATGTGAAGTATTGCTGTGAAATTTCAGTAAACCTCCCAGCATGATGTAAGTCTCCATTTTAGACCGCCAGGTGTAATTTCAGACCAGGAGTTTAATTTTCCCTGTCCAGGTTGTCACGAAAACAGTGCAGTCGTGCATTTTAAATAGTTTCATCATATGAGTATCTTTTGAACGCCTGGTTGTACAAAACACCATGGTTGGTGCTGTAAGGAATGAGAGGGGTTTTTTTTGTTAATTTTTTTTTGATAAGATATGGTGCCTGCCCTCAGGCAACTTAAAATAACTGCCTACAGGTAACTGTAATACAGGGTAGTGAGGATCTAGGGATTGACCGTCAGCCTTGCTAAATAAGGACAAAGTTAGGAAGGCTGTTTCAGGAGTTAAAGGCAGTGTATTGAGGGTCCCAATGGTGAGAAGGTGTCTAGTTTGGTGGTTTAAATGTTATTGTGATCTTTTACTTTGTTTAGAATTAACCACACTTTAGGAAAAAAGGTTGAATTGAATATACAATGATATTTTAATATTTAAAATGCTGTTTTCTATAAGAGTAATTCATCCTTAGGTATAATTTAGAAAATGAAAAAGGCAGTGAAAGATATTTCATTATCAACCTACCTACCCCAGAATACTCTTTGTTATTTAAATTTTAATGTATTTCATTCATCTTTTTTACATGGAGTTTTGTTCTTTTTTGCAGTTATTATATTGACAATATAGTGTTTTTCTGATTTTCCATTTGCTGTTCTAACAGACATTTTACAGTGGTTTTGAGAACTAGGATTCTAAATGGTAATGTCATATTCTGTTTACTAGAGGCGTCACAACTTTCTTTTTCCTGTTTTTCTTTTGCTGTTTTAAATGGACATTTATACATGCCATATTTTTTGATACTTAGGATTGTGTCAGTGGGATGATTTCTAGAAATAGGCTTGTCAGGTGAGTGACCAGGAACATTTCAAAGAATATATTTTATGTGTATATATGTGTACACACACACACACATATGTATCTTCAGATTATTCCCAGAAAATATTTCTCAGAAAGAGCATTTTAATTTATATTCCCTTCAGTAATGTGTCCTTTTTAATTGCACCATGCTATTTAGAAAATAATATATAGCTATTTCAATTTGAATTTTTAAATGACAAATGAAGTTGACTGTTTTCCCCCTTACGTTTGTCAACTAATCTTTATCCTTTGTACATTCTGTTCGTGCCTTTTGCTCATTTATTTTGTTGGCATCAGGGTATACAGAACAGAAAACCCATAGGTTTATTTGTCTGATGGCACAGTAGGTCTGTGCATAGGCCCACCAGGGCTGCTGCGAGCAGTCTAGGACACTGCCCTGACACCAGACTGCATTTTCCACTCCACCGTCCTGAGAGTGTGCTGCTTTCTTATGCTTATTGCTTCCTGATGCAGCATGAGTGATTTATCTTCAGGCTTTAGGTTGCAGGACGAAAGGGCTGAAAGACCCTGCTAGCCAAATCTGTCCCTGTTCATCAGGAAAGCACAGAACTTTCGGAGAAGCTCCACTTAGGAGAACTCTGATTATGGTCAGTGTTGTCTCTAACTCAAGTTGGCCAATCGGAGAAGGTGGGGTTTGGGTCAGTCACCCACACTGTCCGGTATGGTATGTGGGTCTTTTTATTATTTACTCCACTTTTTCAAAGGTATGACATTTGTCACACGTCTTTGTGTTAATACTTATTTCTTGACCTCTTTACTACTTTTTTTTAAAAACAAGTTTTGAGTTGTTCATATAGTCATGCTTGCTGTCATTCCCTTTTTGATACTTTACCACTTTTAAACTAAAAGTCAAAACCCTTCAACCCCCCACCCACCAGTGTGTTTGTTGCACACTGATTATCTGGGAAACAAAATCTGAGATGGAGGTTTGTGTAGTGTGATGAGTGAACATGATCTGGTTGGTATAGTTTTTGTTTTTGTTTTTTTGAGTTAGTTGAAGTGAACTTCCAGTATATGCTCAGTGCTGGAAAAATGAACATTCTTGGTTGTATTGGTCCCTATTAGATCAAGTTTATTGTGTTAGTAAAATATTTCTTAGCACTGCTTGTTTTCTGTCTGTTGACTAGTAGCTAAAGCAGGAGTGTCCTTAGAGTGAATGAATTTCTCCTCCAATCAGTGTTTACTTTTTACATGTCAAGGTGATGTCATTGTGAGTCAGAGAGTCCTGGCTGCTTCCTCTGCTGGGAGGGTTTCTTCTATCACTGTAAAATAGTATTTCTTTGTCCTAATATTTTCTACCTTGAGTTCTATTTTATCTGCTGTTAATACCAGCATTCCACCTTTATTTTGGTTATCCGCATAGCACGTTTTAGTCTTTTTATTTTCAACCTTACCATATATTTTGTTTTTGTGTGTGCCCTTTGGGCTTAACATCTAGCTGGATGTTTTTCTCCATTGGGCTATCCTTTTCTCTTTTAACTGAGACTGAATCATTGATACTTAGATTACTTGGTCTTGATTCTGCTATCTTATTGGATGTTTTCTATTTACCATACTTGAATTTTTTTTCTCTCTTGGATTGTGATTTTAAAGTTACATGTTGTTTGTATTCTTGTGATAGTTGCCCTAATAATTTTTTAGTGATTTTTTTTTTACTAAAGTATAGTTGATTTACATTGTTTCAGGTGCACAACAGAATGATTTGGTTATATATGTATGTATATTCTTTTTCAGATTCTTTTCCATTACAGGTTATTACAGGATATTGAATAGAGTTCCCTGTGCTGTAACAGTAAGTCCTTGTTTACCTATGTTATATATAGTAGTTTGTATCTGTTAATCCCAAATTCCTGATTTATCCCTCCACCTTCCCTTTCCCTTTTGGTAACCATAGTTTGTTTTCTATGTCTGTGAGTCTGTTTCTGGTTTGTAATAAGTAAGTTCCTTTGTATCATTTTTTTAGATTCCACATATAAGTGATGTCATATGATATTTGCCTTTCTCTTCCTGATTTATGATAATCTCTAGGTCCATCCATGTTACTGCCAATGGCATTATTTCATTCTTTTTATTGCTGAGTAATATTCCATTGTGTGTATATATACTACAACTTCTTTATCTATTCATTTCAATGGACATTTGGGCTGTTTCCATGTCTTGGCTATTGTAAATAGTGCTACTATGAACACTGAGGTGCTTGTATCTTTTCGAATTAGAGTTTTCATCTTTTCTGGATAGATGCCCAGGAGTAGGACTGCTGGATCATATGGTAACTCTATTTTTAGTTTTTCAAGGAACCTCCGTACTGTTTTTCACAGTGGCTGCTTCATGCCCTAATAACTTAATGCATGTTCTTTGTATTTCTTGTAGAGTCTGGAGTTACTCCGTATTCATATCCCTATCCGGTTTCCCTTAGAAGTTGTTTTCCTTTTGTAATTTCACAGTATTGCCCTCTTACTGCGTTCATCCTTATAGCCCTCACTGTGCTCCCTCAGTCTGTGTGCTTCTTGCTGCAGGTGTGCTTTCCCTGGCAGCTGCAGGGCCGCCCACCATAGCTGCCCCATCTGCAGGCCTTCTCTGAGGGATCTTCCCAGGGTCTGGTCCACTGAGAGTTCCCCACCTTTAAGTCTGCTTGTGTATTTCTTTTTTCCTGTTCTTTCTTTTTTTTTTTTTTAATTATTTCATTATCTCTTCTGTGTTGTCATTGATTGAGGTTAGACCTAATTTAAAGCAGGAAATGAGTTGGAAGTTTTAGGACACCAAGATGGGAGATTCTTCTGCTCTTTATCTTCTTTGTCTTCTGTTTAAAACAGTGTTAAACAACATTTAGATATTACTCACGCCAATTTCAGCTGTCTCTCTGTCTGTGGCGTGTTTTTTTGTTTGTTTGTTTTTCGTTCCGCTTGGGATTTTGGTTTTTGGTTTTGGGGATTTTTTGTTTTGTTTTGTTTTTTGGTCCTCTGAGCAGTTTTGGGAAGATGGGCAGAAGTTTTGCCTGCAGTTAGACAAAGCTATAGGCGGCCGCATCACCAGTAAGAGTTGTTTGTCTGCGTTTGCTGCCTTCCCTGGGCAGGACATTTAGTATTCTCTACCAGTAGAGAGAAGGATAAACCAGCCTCACATCTGGTAGAGGTTTCTCAGAGGCACCTTGCAACAATGTACCTTATTTTCAGAGAAGGGTGTGCAGACAGGTACACATCCTTAAAAGCAGTAGATACAAGTTACAGTTATGGAAGCTCAGCTGGAGATTACGAAACAGGATTTTGGAAAAAACAGACCCAACAGGGGTCAGTTGAGGTGAATTGTGAAGGATGACTAGAGAGAGTTGACCAGGTGGATGAGAGAGCGGGGCATCCTGGGTATGGGGTTCAGCACATTCAGGGACACAGCAGAGCATAAAGTAGGAGAGGGTAGAGGGATTCTGAGAGGCTGGACAGGTGTGTGGTGACCTGACTTACACACCACCTTTATTGTGTTGCACCGTTAAGTTGTATGCCCTACGCCGGAAATACTTATTTTAAAACATGAATGTCATTTTCTATTCTTGTTGTTTCCAAAGCTTTTTAAAGTAATAGTGTCAAACCCTGAGATAACTCTTATGATGTCTCTTGAATTAGTCTTTTGTTGTCTGTTGTCCTTGGAGTTTGTACATACCCACAGAGAATCTTTCTTTTCTTGTGCCTGTAAGACGGGCTTTGATCCCACGGTTACGGGGTTACGTCTGCTTTGGAATCACTTGTGAGACTAACCTGTGACATAAAAAGAAGTCACCTCGGCCCACAGTGCTTCTACTTTTGTAATTAAAAGTTGCCTTTTACATACATTTCTTCCCTTAGACTTCTGTGAGTGTTACATTGCCGCTTAACATGATGTCAAGAAATAATTTGGAGGTGTCTACCTGTAAAATGACAGAGCCATTTAACTTTGAGAAAAAGGAAAGCAAGCTTCCACTACATGATTTTTTAAGAAGTCCCGGAGGACATCCTAAACATCCTAATTTTAGGTTGAAAAGCCCAGAGAATGGAAACAAAAAGAACAATTTTTTGCTTTGTGAGCAAACCAAACAGTATTTGGCTAGTCAGGAAGACAATTCAGTGTCTTCAAACGCCAACAGCATCAATGGAGAAGTGGCTGGACCCAAAGGAGACAGGAAGACATTGCCAATAGGTGAGTAAAAACTACAGGCTTAATGCTGCTTGATTCTGAAGGTTTCTTTGACTTATCGGAAGTACGTATAACTACACACCAGCAGGCTATTAACAAAACAACCAAATGGCTAACTTACAGTATTTCCGTTTAAATACTAATTTAGAAGGAAAAACCAGATGCTAAGTAGCTACCTTTGGCTAGATTACTCACAGACAGGATTCCCAAGGAGAAAATGTCTACAGATGAGCTCCCCCCACATCAGAGAAGTATGCTGGGAATGTAGAAAAGAAACACTCTGGCTTTTTATGAGTGTTCTAAAGATGGGCCATATTCTAAAAATACAATGTAAGTTTTATGCATGTAATGGTTTACAAAGATATATCTTAAGACATTAATCTGTTTTATTTGATTTTTAAAAATCATTCCTTTAGACTTCATTCTAAAAATCTGCTTTGTGAGGAGGCTGGGGCCTTGGAATGTAGCCTCTGAATGTATGAGATGTGATCTTTTAGTGTTATGGTGACGTAGTTTTCAGTGTGGCCCTTGGGCGTCTGGGGTCAAAACTATTTTCCTAATAGTATTAAAACATTATTTGCTCTTTCCCACCGTTCTGACTTTATGCGGGTGGCTGTAAAAGCAAAGGTGAGTAAACTGCTGGCACCTTTATTAGCTCAGCTTTAGCTGGGGCATTAGCCTGGGCTGGTGAGCATTGCTTTTCATTATCATACACTTGTTAAGACAAAACAAGTCAGAAATGTCAGTTTTACTTTAGAATATCCTTGATGACGCAGTACAAGTTATTAACAAATCTTAACCCTCGTGTACAGGTATTTTTAGCATTTTTTGTAACAAAATGGGAATTCCCACTAACTTTTGCTGCATGCGGACGTATGAAAAGCATCTGTGCAGTTGTTTGACTTGTGAGCTGAAAAGAAACTTTTTTCTTGGAACATCATTTTTATTTGAAAAGAATGACAAACTGTGGTTATTTAGACTTAGATATCTGGCAGTCGCTTTCTCAGAAATGAACAAAGTGAGCCTGTCACTTCAAAGAGAACAGCTGACAGTATTTTGTTGCTAATGATAAAATGCAGGCTTTCAAGCAGGAATGAAAATTTCAGGAAACTTGTGTCTGCCACTCAGAGACAGCTTCCCAATACTTAACCTCTTCTGGTAAGAAGAACAGAGATGTATTAACACATTTTTTTTGATATTGTCTGATGAACTGTGTCAACATTTGGAAGATCTGCATAACTTGAGTTTCTCAGTCTTTTCCAGAGGACCAGTATATGACGTTTTGTCGTTACACATGGGTAAACATCCTTTCAAAGTGCAAGATAAACCAATGGATTCTAATGTAGCAGTATGAAAAGATACGGTTTTAGATTCCACCTCGCAGCTGACCCTTAAACTACCACTTGAGTTTTGGTGTGAATTACAGGAAAATATCCACAATTATCTGAGAAGCCTGTTAAATAATAGTCCTACTGGCAACTGTGTGTGTGTGTGTGTGTGTGTATGTATGGCTGGATTTTCTTCAGATACTTCAGTTAAAACAACATATCACAACAGCTTGGATGCAAAGGCAGATACACAAATGCAAGTATCATTGGCTAAGCCAGACATTAAAGAGATATGCAAAAATGATAAACACTTTTTTTTTTTTGCTTTGGAACATAGTTTTTTTTTTAAACCATAGCAACATGTAATGCATTTATTATTTTTAAATATATTTAAATTTTTAATACTAGCATTAGATATTTCTAATACTTAGTTTTAATTTCTGATAATACTAAACGTTAACGATGTAAGTCATGTAAGCAAAAGCTCTTTGAGGTCCTCAATAATTTCTAAAGGTGGATAATTTCTAAAGGTGGAGATGAGTCTAGAGTTCAAAGAGCCTGAGAACTGCCTTCGTGAATGGAGACAAGTTCATGGTGAGAGAGATGCAGTTGTCCAGGAAATGTCAGACAAGTCCTTATTTTTCATTAGGAAAAGTAGGATGTTGCTTATTTATAGTGTAGCTTTAAGGCTACTATGGTACAGCTTAATTATCTGAATGTCACTTAACTATATTACTGTACGTTTTCAGGAATAAGGTAATATTTGACTTTTATTAGGCATTATGTTTTACATCCCCAGGTAACCCTGTGTCACCATTAAATGTTGGAAATAATTCACCATCCAAAGAAGTAAATAGTGTAAGTTATATCTTTTTTTTCTATTTTGTGATGTCTTGGATAAAAGATTCTAAACTTGTTTTTGTATTGTGTTAATAAAGAATTTCTTAGAGGGGAGGATATAGCTCAGTGGTAGAGTGCCTGCTTAATTAGCATGCACGATGTCCTGGATTCAATCCTAGAACCTCCATCAAGAAATAAACAGACCTAATTACCTCCCCCCAAAAAAGAATGAAATTAAAAAGTTACTCAATTTGCAGGCATTACTCAAGGTCAAACTGCCTTATCTTTAGCCTAGTATATATATGTATTTTTTAAAATCAACTTTTTTCTACCTAGCTAATTGTAGATTGACATACAGTTGTAAGAAATAATATGGAGATACTCTGTAGCCTTTACCCAGTGTCTCCATATGGTAACATGCTGTAGAGCTATAGTATAATATCACAGCCAGGATACTGACACAGTACAGTCAAGACACAGAACATTGCCATCACTCCAGGTATCCCTTTTGTGCCGCCTTCTGGCCACATCCACTTCCCTCCTGCCCCTACCCTCTTCTTAGCCCCTGGCAACTGCTCATCTAGTATTAATATTTCCAAAATGTTGTCATTTCAAGGATGTTCTATAAATGGGATCATACAAGTATATTCCTTTTGGGATTGGATTTTTTCATTCAGCGTAATTCTCTGGAGATTCATGTAGATTGTTACATGTATCAATAGTTCAGTGCTTTTTATTGCTGAGTAGTATTCTATGGCTTATTTAAACATTGACCCATTGAAATACATCTGGATCATTCTCAGTTTCTGGCTATTATAACTAAAACTGCTATAAACATTCATGTTCAGGGTTTTATGTGAATATAAGGTTTTTTTGGTTTTGTTTTTTGCTCTAGGATAAATGCCCAGGAGTGCAGTTTCTGGGTCATGTAGTAGTTGAATATTTAATTTTTCTGAGAAGCTGCCAAAGTGTTTTCCAGAGTGGCTATTACCATTTTACACTCCCATCACCCAGAACATATGAGTGATCCAGTTTCTCTGCATTCAGCATCCTCACCAGTGTTGAGTGGTGGTGGTTTTTTTTTTTTTTAGTGTCCCCATTCTCACAGATGTATAGTGATAGCTCATTATGGTTTTAATTTGTGTTTCCCTAATGGCTAATGATAAACTCTTTTCATGTGCTTATTTGCTATCTCTATATCCTTTTTGGTGAAATGTTCTTCCTGTATTTTGTCCGTTTTCTAATTTGGATTATTTGGGTTTTTTTTTTTACTGCTGAGTTTTGAAAGTTCTTTCTATATTCCAAATCCTAGTCCTTTGTCAAATATGTGATTTCCAGATATTTTATCCCAGTCTCCAACTTGTCTTTTCATTCTCTTAATAGGGTGTTTAGCAGAACAAACAAGTTTTTAATTAAGTTCTGATCAATTTTTCCTTTTATGGATCATGCTTTGGGTGTCAAGTCTAAGAACTCTTTGGTACTTTAGATCCAGAAATTTTTGAATTCCACCCCCTCCCCCAATTTGTAGTTTTACATTTAAGTTTGTGGTCCATTTTGAGTTAATTTTAAGTTGTAAGACTTAGGTTGAGGTTAATTCTTAACTAGGGATGTCCAGTTGCTCCATCACCATTTATTGAAAATGTTATATTTCCTCCACTGAATTGGTTTTGCACTTTTGTCATAAATTAGGTGGGCAAATTTGTCTGGATTTTCCTGTATTCTCTGTTCTTTTCCTTTGATATGTGGGGTCTGTGCTTCACCAATACCACATGGTACTGGAGCTATGATAGACAGCCTGGAGGTTGGGTAGGATGATTCCTCCCACTTTTCCTTTTTTCAAAATCGTTTTAGCTAATCTAGTTTCCTTTGCCTTCTTATCTACATTTTAGAATAATCTTGTTCGTATCTACAAGAAATCGTGCTGGAATTTTGATAGGAATTGGATTGAACCTGTATATCAATTTGAGGCTTACTGACATCTTTGCTGTGTTGACTCTACTAATTAACACAGTCTGTCTCCCGATTTATTTAGATCTTCTTTGATTTCTTTCACTTTGTGGTTTTCAGTTTACAAACTGTGCATGTTTTGTCAGATTTACACCTAAATAGTTCTTTTTTTTTGAGTGATTGTAAATGCTGTTGTATTTTTTATTTCCATGTGTCCTCACATTCATTGCTACTATATAAAAATTTTTGCATGTTTATCTTGTATCCTGTGACCTTCCAGAAGTTACTTATCCTAGATTTTTTTTTGTAGATTCTTTGGAGTTATCTACATAGATAATTGTATCATCTGCAAATAAAAGACAAATTTATTTCTTCTTTTAAAGATATGTGCTTTGTAATTGCCCTTTCTTGGCTTGTTTATTGCACTGACTAGAACTTCTAGCTCTGTGTTGATTAAGAGTGGTGACAGTGGAAGGCTATAGGTACATGTGCGTAGAGAAATTTCAGTAAGTGTATTCACTTGAATGCCTCTAGGTAGTGGGACTTCAGGTGATTATTATCGCTTATTTGTAGTTTCTGTATCGTTTCAGTTTTCTTCAAGAGCAACAACAACAAAAGTGGTGACTGGATATCTTGCTTTGTTTTCAAACTTAGGGGAAGCATTGAGTCTTTTTACTATTAAGTACAATATTAGCTATAGGATTTTTGTAGATGATCTTTATCAGGTAGAAGAAGTTTTTCCTATTCCTACTTTTCTGATAATTTTTTTATCATGAATAGCTATTGAAATTTTAAAAATACTTTTTCTTTATCCATTGATATTTTTGTGATTCCCCCCCCCCATTTAGCCTGTTAATTTGGTTGATTGCATTGATTTTCCTTTGTTTTTAATTTAACCAGTCTTGCATCCCTGGAATGAACCCCACTTGGCCATGGTGTGTAATTATTTTTATATGTTGCTGAGTTATATCAGGTATTGTTTTGATAAGGATTTTTACATCTGTTTTCTTGAGAGATCTTGGTCTGTAATTTTTTCTCTTTTTTATTACCTTTGTACGGTTTGGGTATCAAGGGAATATTATTTTGCTCGAAGGAGAGATTGTGTAGAATGGGTGTTAATTAACTTCTTTAAACATATTTGGTAGTGTTCTCCCGTAGTAGAAACTGTATAGGCTTGATTGAAAATTGTATAGGCTTCTTTTTTGGGAGTTTAAAAGAATCTGATTCAATTTCCTTAATATTTATAGGGCTATTCAGATGATCTATTTCATACTGTGATTATTTGTGACTTTTCAGGAATTGGTCCATTTTGTCTGTGTGGTGAAATCTGTGTGTAGAGTTGTTTGAGGCATCCCGTTACCATTTTTACTTCTTCGTGGTCTGTAGTGATACATCCCTTGTCTCATTCCTGATGCTGCTGATTTTTTGCCATCTCCATTTTCCTCATTGTTTGTCTTGCTAGAGGTTTGTCAATTTTATTGACCTTTTCAAAGAACTAGGCCTTTTTCACTGATTGTTTTTCTCTAAGCTTTGGTTTTTAATTTCATGGATTTCTGCTTTTATCTTTATCATTTTCTTCCCCTGCTTGCTTCAGGCATGTTTTGTTCTTACTGTTTAGATTCTTGAGATGAGAACTTAAATTATTAATTTGAAACTTTTCCTCTTTTCTTATGTGTGACTTGAGTGCTGTAAATTTTTGTCTTGGCAGTGCTTTAACTGTGTGTCCTACAAATTTGGATGTGTTGTATTTTTACTTTCTTCTAGTTCAGTATGTATTACTTTATTTCCCCTGAGACATCCTCCTTGGCTCATGTGTTATTTAGAAGTGTATTGTCTAGTTTCCAAATTTTTGGAGAATATCTGTTATCATTCTGTTACTGATGTCTAGTGTGAGTCCACTGTGGCTGAAGAGCACCCTCTGTATGATTTAAATTCTTTTCAGTTTGTTGAGGTTTGTTTTATGGCCCAGAATGTGGTCTGCTGGACAAGGGTGGGGTTCCAGCTTCCCAGGGTCCTTCTTGCCCACCATGTACTCTTTACTTAGACACAGTGGGGTGGGGAGAGTGGGCAGGCTGGAGGAAGGGTTGGAGGTGAGAGGGTTTGGAGACACCCCACTCATTATCATTGAACAGTGGTGGAAAATCCTGAATGTCCGCTAGGTTTCTCCTTAGCACTGCCCCAGTGGTGGTGGCTGCAGGGGTAAGAGGAGCATTTGTTACTACCAGGTGGGAATCCAGGCTCCCCATGTGGTCTCCACAGGGAGACCCCACAAGGCTGAAGTGCTGGCTGCTGACTCTGTTGGTCTTCCGCAGTACCACCCGGGTGGGACAGACAGAGTCCCTCGCTGTAGCCTGGTAAAGGTGGAAATCTAGCCATCCCAGTCTACCTTTGCTGGTGGGAGTGGGGCCATCGTTTTTTCTGTGATGGTTATCTGGAGCAGAGCAGTTACTGATAAAAGTTTTCTGTCTTGCTGGGCCACCCCTTGCCTGGTCTTCTGGCCAGAGAGAGAGCAGACTCTTTGTTGGGGCTAGTCTGAGCCTTTTGGCATTGCTGGATTGCTGGCTTCTCCAGCACCCCATCTCGGGTATATGAGACAGAAAGAAATCTCTGGAGACTCATCGCCGTGTCCTTCTCTGGGTCCCAGGGTTCCTAGCCTGCCTGCTGCGTTCCTTCAGAGCCACTGTTCTACATCTAAATCCAGGCTTTTCCCTTGTACTTAATGGGAGGAGTAAGGAAAAGTACATCTATTTTATCTTCTCAGAAGAGGAAATCCCAAATCTAGTACTTTAAAAAAAAAGCTTTATTACCAAGTTTTAATATTGCTATTTTCTTTTCATAATAGAAGCATGGCAATAGTGTTCTTCCTGCAAAATCGAAAAAAGTACACAAGGTGGTTGAGAATTCATTGTCTATAAGCAGTCCAGCATTCTTCAGCTCCGTGGGACCTCCTCTTCGGTCGACAACCTGCCATTGCTGTGGGCTGTTTGGTAAGCATATTGCTACTGCCAGATGTCTGCTGAATTACTCCTCTACACATTTGAAAAATATTTTTATTACATAAAATATGAAATATAAACAGAAGAGTATATATACACGCATACCCATTCTTCAGCTTAGCAGCTACCAGCATCCTGCCATTCTTGTTCATCCGTATCTTCCCACTCTTCCTGCTTCGTTACTTGATTATTTTTTATACTTTTTTTGAGATAAAACTTACATGCATTTATATGCACAGACTCATACCCTTATCAAGATAAAGAATATTTCCATCTTCTCAGAAAGTTCCCTCATGTCCCTTCCCAGGCACTAGACCCGCCTAAAGGCAACCACTTTTTTTTTACCGTAAATTAATTTTTTCCAGTTACAGAATTTTTTGTAAATGGAATCATACAGTGTGGACTCTTTTGTGTAAAGCTTTTTCTATGTAGAGAATATTTCTGAATTTATTCTGTGTGGCTGCATGTACACTAATTATTTTTTTCTTTGTTGCTGGTAGCATCCCATTGGGTGGTACCACAATTTGTTTATCTGTTCTGTTGTTGAACATTTTGCTTGTGTCCAGCTTTGGGTTATTATGAATAGAGCTCTGTACACATTATTACATGTTTTTGTATGGAGATGTTCTCATTTCTTTTGGGTACATACCTGGGAGTAGAATTGCTGAGTCAAAAGGTAGGTATACGTTAACTTTATAAGAAAAAGCCAAACCATTTTCCAACGTAGCTGTCTCATTTTATATTTCCCCTGGTAATGAGTTCTGGTTGCTCCACATCTTCGTCAACATTTGGTGTTTTCAGTTCTTCTAATTTTAGTCCTTCTCATGAGTGTGTAGTGGTATTTCTTAGTGGTTTTAATTTGCATTTCCCTCATGATCAATGATCTTGAAGGGTTTCCATGTACTTACTGGCTGTTTGGATATTTAGCTCTCTTTTTTCTATTTCTTTTAGAGTAGAGGCACGCAAGGCCAGCCCAGTTTTGTTGTTTCTTTATGTGTTTTTTGTTTTTGTTTTTTAGACAGCTTGTTTTCTTCTGCCTGAATACTGATGGGATTTTTCTAAACTTCATTTCAAAAACTTCCTGAGTTTTTCTAGGTATGATTCTCTTCACTGGTTTTTGTTTTGTACTTTTTAAATGGCACAAGGTAAGCCGTGTCTGCTTGCACACGTCTGTTTTCACCACCACAGATTTTCTCTTTCGATGATTGTTCCCTTTATAATGTGCGTTCTGGGCTCTGCTTCAGGAAAGCCAGTTGTGTCTCCAGTCTGTCCTCCCTCTCATTTTCATCTTGGCATTCCCCTTTCTCTGCATTTCAAGAGAGCTTTAAAATTTAATCTTAACACCTAATCATAAACAGCATAATCCTCTTCAAATAATCTCCTTGATATGATTAATAGAATGGTGTTTATACATCTGGTCTTTGAAAGTGTCTTGCTCTTGGCAACAAATACTTGGAATAAAACTTCAGTGACCTGGTGGGCCGTGCTCTGTAGGGTCTCTGAGGTGTTCCCAGTGCAAGCAGACATACTACTGCTCCATAGCGTGCCAGAGGCGAGACTGGTCGGCCCACAGCATCGTGTGCAAGCCTGTTCAGCAAAAGTAAGTGTGATTTGTTTTTAATTCATCAGAGAATATTTTAAAATACTTTTTTGTTTTGGTGGTATGAGGATCAAATCAGGTAAGCAGCCCATAATTACATAAAAGTTGCTACTTTTTACTTACTTATTGAGGTATAACAAAGCATACAAATCAGAAGTGAACAGCTGTACAAACAGAAGTTTTCATGAATATAATTTTATTAAATAGTACATATTAGGAGTTAAAACCTTAAGTGATTTTTCCTTCTAGTGATTAGAGCTTTAGAATGCATTATTTCTATTGTATGTATACTTCTCGGGATTTTAATAAGGTGGAACTCTCACAGGCTTCTTGAATTTTGAATTTAAAATACGCAAATCTTACTTTCATGCTACTTACCAGTTTACAGAGCAGTTTCACTTGTGCAGCCTCATTTGGTCCTCAGAACTCTGTTTTAGGTAATGTAGGGATATTTCCATTTTGCAGATGAGGAAATTGAGGCTTGAAGATTATGGCCGTGTTCCTTTCATTAGGAAGTGGCAGAGCATTGCTTGGCCAGCATAGGGTTGTTTTACTCTGTTACAACTGTGATTTTCTCTGGAAGAAGCTGTTTTACTCTTCCTGGATTTTGCTGATTGAGAATTTAATGTAATTGTGACCCCTGCTCATACTTGGCTCTGTGCTGTAAGTATTTTAATCAGTTGCTTTATTTCAGTTTCCACAAACTTGAGGATAATAAATCACCTTTTGAAACGAAGAATGTGGACGTGAAAGACGAGGTATGATATATTTACTCTTTCTTTGCCTTCAGGGCAAATTTTTAATGACTCCCTTTATTTTGAATTAAGAGGACTTAAGCTAAATAAAATATTTATGGCTTGTTTCTGCCTTGCACCAGTGTTTATTTAAAAACCAAAGTTTCCTGTTGAGTAAATCTCTACACCTTAGTGATTGATTTGGTGACTGTTGGGAGGTTTATGAGAGTTGCTTATGCCCAGCCTTTTTCCAGAAAGGACTTGAGATGACCGTGTCTCCGTGTAGGTGCACTGCTGATGGAGTCCCTTCTTCCTAGTCCCTGCATGCACATGTTCTCCAGCGTTGTGTACTGGATTCTACCAGGGCCTGCCATCTAAGGAGCATAATACCTTTCTGTCATCTAGATAACTATGTGGGCAGAGTCATTCATAACCTGAAAAACATCGATTATCTCCAACTCATATTTATAAAAGAATTTTAGCCTTGGTCCAGGCTTCTACGTTCAAAAGAAAATCCATTCCCATAAAAATGTATGTATGCATTAGTAAGTCCAAACTTAAAACACTACTCTCCCTCCCTCCTTTTTTTTTTTTAAATAAACAACATTGTCATCACCATTATGGCGTAATTCTTGAGTGACTCCAGTTCTGTGCACACTGCCTATGGACAGTAAGTTTTAGTGACTCTTGAAGATGTACACTATTTCTCTACACTCTTACTCAAGCCTGAGAATCAGGCTGTTTTGGCCTCGATTCTAGCAAATAGTGGCCACAGTATCATTTAAACACATGCTTGTCAGTAACTCACTTATGTGGTTTTTTTTTGAACCAGAGAGACTGTCCTCTTGGAGTTACTAAAGAAAAAGCCCTTGGTGCTGATAAAATAATGTTTTCTGATTTGAGAAGCCTACAACTCAGGAAAACCATGGAAATAAAGGTATTCGTTGTTTACTTTCTGTAGATAGGGATCCAAAGAACCATAGATTTTTATTTCCTTGTTTCTTGTGTTTAATTTGAGTTTATAAGATAGGTACAGAATATAACTGAAATTGATGAAGATTGCAAAAACAGTCTACAGCAGTTTTTGTATGCTGTTATAAAGCTGTAAGTAATTCATATTTGCTGTGTTCTAAGCAAATTATTACAACTTTTCTGTCTTTGAAAGGGTGCGGTTACTGAATTCAAACACCCAAGTGACTTTTATGTGCAGTTATATTCTTCAGAAGTTTTAGAATGCATGAACCAACTCTCCACGAGCTTAAAGGAAACATATGCAAATAAGGTGCATGAAGAAGATTATATCCCTGTGAAGGGGGAAGTTTGTGTTGCCAAGTACACCGTTGATCAGGTAGCCCCTAATGAAATGAATTATTTAATAAGACGTTTTAATTTACTTTGGTCCTACCAACTTGACACCAGAGCTTTTTTTTTAATGATGCGTTAGTGACCTGAAATGAGGCTCTGGCCACTCTCCTCTGTCTCTTCTCAGTCAGACCTGGGAAGGTCCTCCCGGTTACTCGCTCCCTGCCCCGCCCCTCTCCGGCTGTTTCTGTAGCTCCTCAGTGCTGGGACACTGACTGGAGTTTGTGTTTATTTGTGTGGCTGAGGGATCAGTGTGTCCCAGCATCTCCTGGGCTACACCAACCTGGGGATAGGTGTGCATAGTAAAGGACCCCAAAATAGGCACATCCAGGGGTCTCTTAGCCAGATTCTTAAGAAAGTAAGTTAACTTGTTCACTGAGTACCTCAGAACAGAACAGTAGATGTCCTTCGCATGTTCTGTAGATTAGTTGAGAGTTTTTAAGCCTAAGATTGTGAAATGCTGTTTGGAAGCAGAATTCTGTTCTGTTTCACTTGCAGACCTGGAACAGAGTATTAATACAGGACGTTGATGTGCTGCAGAAGAAGGCACAGGTCTTGTATATTGATTATGGAAATGAGGAAGTAATTCCAGTAAGCAGCATTCACCAGCTAAACAGAAACATTGATTTGTTTCCTCCTTGTGTAAGTCTCTTTTACTTTGTAAATTCCTAGTAATGTCCCAAAGGAGCTGTTTTTAATGTTTTGATGCACACAATATTTGTGTGTTCTATTGCCATGGTTTTTATGGAAAAGTACCTATTACATCTTTTACAACGCAGAGAAACACTATGGGCTTTCTTGGTGCCATTTTATTAGGCCTTATTTGGTTATGTGCCGCCTCAGGTGAGAAACTGAGCACTTTTAGGGACATTTTATCAATCTGCTCTTTAAAAACAATTGTTTCTATATTTGTTACGTTACTTGGAAGCAACTTCAGTTTATGTTTGAGGGATAATTACTATCCTTTCATGAATTTCTCAGGCTTTAAGTCCCAAAAGGAAAAGCATTGTGGATGAAGTATCAAGGAAGGCAAATAATTATTGATAAAATTATTTATTTGGTTAGTGCTTGATAATTTTCAGCATGAAATATATTATCTTTAAAAAATCTTTACATAGTTAATTAGAAAAAAGTCATTTTCAAACACTAATTTTTTTAGTAACTTGTGTAAAATCTTTCAGGCCATAAAATGCTTTGTGGCCAGTGTTATCCCAGCAGAGGGGAGTTGGAGCAATGATTGTATCACAACTATTAAGTCACTGTTAATGGAGCAGTTCTGCTCTGTAAAGATTGTGGACATCTTCGGCGAGGAAGTGGTTACCTTTGCTGTGGATGTGATGCTGACAAGTTCAGGTAAGATCTGAGTCTGGAACACTTAATATGTTCCTTAGTCCGCATCAGTTACTCAGAGAAGAAACAGAAACATGGAGTGAGACCAGGTCAGCTGTGCTGTGGAGTCACTCAGATTGTGACTGAGAATATGGCCGTGGCTCTGCTCTTGGCAATTGGTAATTCGTCAGAGACCAGGTCAAGTTTGTAGAATTGGTAGATTGAAAGGCTACAGTGAGACTTAGTGTGGGGAAATTGCATCACGCTTTTAACATAGCCATTATAGGACCTAGTCCTGATTTCTACTCATTTATGGGGAAAATTCAGGAATTTCTCTGTGAATTTGTCTGTCCTCATCATCGGTGCTTTTTCTTTGAACAGCCTTCGCAGACCTGCACTTGGTTAGCCTTAAGACCACAGGCACATAGTATTTAGGTTGTGGAAATGGAAACAGTTTGGAATCAGTTCTTCCTTTCTAGCTTTAAGCGTATTTGAAAAGTGACCTCTTCCAGTGTGCTTATAATTGCCTCTTGGTTTCCAAGGTGTTATTACTCTTCTGCTTTCTAAGACCCATCACTGGTTGGTGACTTGGTAGAAAATGCAGTTAATCCTGGTGTGAAATTAAGTATACAGTCTCTTATCTTTTGTTTCTTTGCTGGTTGTGTTCCACGATGTGACTGGAGCTTTGGATGCTGTTTCACGGAACCTGGAGTTTACGTGGCTGTTGGTTCACCCTTGGGTCAGCCTCCTTTACATCTGAGATGAAGTAGTCTCAGGTCTTAAATTTACTCTTTCTTGTAACTCGTGCTCATTCTAAGCATGCCAGTGAGGTGGTAACTAAATCTTTCATGTTATTTTATTCAGAATTTTTAAGTAAAATTTTTTATTTAGTTTTCTGTCTAGTGATGATGGTAATTTTGCCTCAATTTTTAAAACTGAGCATTAACTAACTATATTTTGCACATAGAAACTGAGCTAGTAAGGAATATGCCAGGATATTAATAGCTGTAATCTCTTAATCATGTGATTATGACTCATTTATTTTGTGTTTATGCTTTTCCTCCAATACTTGGTATAATAAATATCTCAGTGGAACTGTGTTTTCTTAATCACTTTTAGGAAAACTGTTAGATCACGTGCTCATAGAAATGGGATATGGCTTGAAACCCAAGGGACAAAATTCTAAGAAGCAAAGTGCAGATTCAAGTGAGTATACAGATTAATATTGAATGGTATAGTATATTGTCTACGAAACAAAAAAGAATATATTATATCTCTCTACAAAACAAAAAAGACACAACTATCACACTGTTCATAAACTTTGTGTAAGGAGGATGATACTTTTAAATTTGGGAGTATATTATTTTTAATCTACCTTCCCTGCTTGTCTTCCTTCCCTGTCTTCCTGATTAATCCTTGACTTGATAATTATCAGAGATCATAAAGTACTGAATATCAAAACACTTTGGGTTGAGGGATTTTTGGCTATCATTTCCTTAGTTTGATTTGTTTTTCCCTCTTCCCTCATATTCCAGCAATTAAAAAAATAGGGTTATAACATTCTGTTCTGGTAGGATGGTGTTTCTTAAGTTTTTTCTTATTTAGTAGTTTTTCATTTGGTCTAACAAGAGAACCAAGAAGTTTTGCTATCGGCATGTTATTGTCTATTTGCTTAATCTTGTGATGTTGTTTTTTGCAGTCTGCTTTCCCCTTTGCTTTTTGCCAATTACTTTAGGTGTAGATATACTTCATTGTCTTTGGCTCATTCGTTCAGAGGTGATTGCCAGGTTAATAGTGGTGTGAATGGTCACATCCTGTCGCATAAACAGACTTGAGTCATCCTTAAATCTTCCTGATTCCTCAGCTTCCATCCCTTACCCTGTCTAATTGATTGCCAGGTCTTTATTGATTCTCCTTCCTAAGTAGCATTTTTTTTCCTTCCTTTAAAATAAATTTTTTCCTACCATTTTTCTGGTTCAGGAATCCTTATCATTCATGGGTAATTGCAAAACCCTTCCAATGTATCTCTGGTGTCCTGTCTGTATTCTTACAGTACTGCCTATGTGAAATCCCTAAAACAGAAATCTTAGTGTGATAGTTCTGCTGAAAAGCTCTCAGTAGTGTTTTGCCATCTGGAGGGGAAAACCCAGTACTTTCTGGTCTAAAAGTAGTCATGGTTGAAACCATCGATAATGGTGGTGTCTTAGGGAGAGTGTGAAGTGAGGAAAAAGTGAGGGAGGTGAACCTGGGACCCATGATGTCAAGTGAGAAGCTGTGATCAGAGAGGTGGAAAAAGGACGGGGATAGTGCTGCCAGGATAACAGAAGAGTAAGTGTTCTGGAAGTCGTCAGCAGTAGCAGATGCTGCAGAGGGGTTGGTGGAAGGAACGAATCCACCCAGCCGTCTCTGCTTCACCAGGGCTATGGAGGTGCCATCGGAGAGGGTGCTCTGTGGGCAGTGCAGACACCTAGAGAAGAGATTATACAATGCTTGACAGCAGGAGTGCAGAGTGCGGGGGTCCCTGGGAAGGGCACCTGACCCAGACGGGGAGAGGAGTGTTTCCCAGTGACCCCATACCGAGCAGAAAGCACTCAGGTTGTTGGGGGATTGGAAACAGGTTCCAGGAAAAAAGGAACAGCATGTATGAAGGCCAGGAGGTTTGAAAGAGCAGCTGAAAAACTGGAAAGTTGGGTTAATGAAACCAAAATGGTTTATTTTTCTGTTTTCTGATAAGGTGATCTCGAAGATGTTGGGAAAATGACAGCTGAAAACAAAATTGTTGTAGACAGAAGTGACCTAATTCCCAAAGTGCTGACTTTGAATGTAGGTGATGAGTTCTGTGGTGTGGTTGCCCACATTCAGACTCCAGAAGACTTCTTCTGTCAACAGCTACAAAGTGGGCGTAAGTAAATCTTGATCTGTGCTATCAGGGTAACATACTGTGAGAGATTCAGCATACAAAAATGCAGATACTGTGTAGACTTGTATTCCTTTTGTTTAAGATGTGATCTTTATCTACAGATAAGCTGGCTGAACTTCAGGCATCACTTAGCGAGTACTGTGGTCAGGCGTCTCCACGGTCAGATTTTTATCCGACCATTGGTGATGTCTGCTGTGCTCAGTTCTCAGGTAAGGAAGGAGAGTGTTAATGAATTTCTTACCTATAATTAAGTAACAGCAGGTGAAACAATCTTCAGTTTACATTGGATGGCTGCATTTGAAGTTTGAGTAGTGAAGTGCACCAGCAGTGATTTCACATCAGGATGTGAATCCGGATCCTCCCAGGGTCATGTCTTGGCCAGTTTTCTTTGGAATAACACGAGGGCCTGGAGGCACAGAGTTGTCGTGGCTGCTGTACCTGCACAGATGATGGCCCTCTGATGACTGGGCTCAGTTCTCTGCTGAAGGGAGGTCCGGTGGCCTCGCAGAAGGGGAGCTACAAGTAGGCCTCTGGTAAATCGATTGCTTGGTTGGTGGAGTCTGGTTGACTGTTCCTGCCAGGGACAATTCTAAAATTGATCCATTGAAGTGACCAGATTGTGTTCTCTATCCTAATGAATGTCTGTCTGTCTACTAGGGAGACAAAGCACGTAAATAAATAATGACAGCATACAGCATGAGTCATCTAGTAATGGATGAGTAAAGGTGACATTTTAGGAGTTGAAGCCTTCTGATAAGTCACAGTGTTGAATAAGTGTACATTGTTCCGTAAAGCTCGATGTTACGTTAAAGTAGTGTCTCCAAATGACCATCTAAACTGGGGAGGAAAAGTGTGTGTTTATATCTTCCTTGGAAGATCGTCTGAGATTCAGTCTGTCCCTTTTTAGAGGACGGACAGTGGTACCGTGCGTCTGTCCTGGCCTATGCTTCTGAGGAGTCTGTGCTGATCGGATATGTAGACTATGGAAACTTCGAAATCCTCAGTTTGACAAGACTTTGTCCCATAACTCCAAAGTTGTTGGAGTTGCCAATGCAAGCTATCAAGTGTGTGCTGGCAGGTATGTGATTTTTATGGTTCCCATATTAAAATACTGAAACCTCAAGGAGCAGCATTAGAATCAAAATTAGTGAGTAGATCAAGGAATGTGTTTAGATGTAAACTTAACCTTAGTGTAAGAACAACCCTTAGTAGAACTTTTAGGACATACAAGTGACTGGCTATCTGTGATAAAATAGGATGTGCCTATGTGTATGAAACGGAATATTCTTTTTGTTATTTATAGATTCTGCATTATCAGTAAATATCTCAGAAGCCTCTTAATTGCATGAAGTAGGGGGAAACCTGCTTTTAAAAACAATAAGAACATTATGACCTTATGCTTAGAACTTATTGTATATGTTACATGTTCCACTGGGAGCAGGCATTTCTTTCCATCTTAAAAGATTGGTTTCTACAACTTTCATTCAGATGTACCATAGTTTAATATTCAGTTATCAAGGATATTTCCAATTTTTTCTACTGTCAGTGTTCTTTTAACTACATTTCACAACCTATCCAATGTCATTTCCTTAGAAAGAGCTGCAGATTACTCTGTATAAAATAAATAAGCTGTAAGACTATGTAGTACAGCATAGGGAAAATAGCCAGTATTTTATAGTAACTTGAAGTGAAGTATAATTATAAAAAATACTGGATCACTATGGTGCACACCTGACACTAAGATAAACTGAATATACTTCAATTTTTTTAAATTAATTTTTTAAAGAAGATCGGTGTCAGCGGGTATCAGGTGTCAGATGCCTTAGGACAGGCGCCAGTGGGGACGCTCCTTTTCATGTTTGTGGTACGTATTATGCCTGTTCTCTAGAAGGGGTAGAACTAGTTCCCACACCTACCAGAAATGCAGGAGGGAGTCACGTCCTTCACACGGTGCGCCAAATAGGTATTTCCGTATTATTTCGCCTTGGCCAATTTTGATCACCTAAAAACTAAATCGTTTTAATTTGCTTCATTACCTGTGAGACTGGACATTTTTTTGTAAGTTAACTTGGCTCTTAATTTTGTGAAATGACCAGGCATAACTTGGGGGTTGTTGATTCCTAAATGCCCACTTGTAAGTGCCCCTTCAGTAGATACTGCAGATGTTTCATATGTCAGTGTCAGCGTAAGGGACCGGTGTTTCTTCCTGGATTGTTTCATACTTCTGTTTATGCTTTTCTTAACAACCTTACTGAGATATAATTTATATATCATAAAAATCACTGTTTTTAGCCATGCCATTCAGTGATTTTTGGTAAATGTGGTAAGTTGTACAGCCATCACCATAATCCAGTTTTGGAACATTTTTATCACCCGCTGAGATCTCTTGTGCCCATTTGTGGTTAATCCTAGCATTCCAGGCTGCCTCTGCCACTAACCTCTGGACATTTCACATCCATGGATTTATGATGGTTTGTTTGCATAGAAGTATAGAAGCTTTTCACAGACTTTTTCTGTGTAATTTTGCTTTCATTTTCATGTTTAGAAAATCCTTCTCAGATGGGACTTTCTGGTTCCAGTGTTTGTCATAGATTCCTTGTTTAACTTTGTGGAAATTAGGAGCTAAATTTCTAAATGCTTGTGATAAGACATATTTTAATGTTCTTTTAAAAATTCTTTGTTAGGAGTAAAGCCATCATTAGGAATTTGGACTCCAGAAGCTATTTGTCTGATGAAAAATATTGTACAGAACAAAATGATGACAGTGAAAGTGGTGGACAAGCTGGAAAACAGTTCCCTGGTGGAGCTGATAGATCGGTCCGTGACACCACACATCAGTGTCACCAAACTACTCATCAACACAGGCTTTGCTGTGGGGAACAAGGAGGTGGTGGCAGATAAGCCCAGTGACGTGAAGGAAACTGATGGTAAGTAAATTGTCTACCAGATGACGTGATGCTGGAGTTCAGATGGCTTTGTGAACATGTGGGTTCTCGTACTTTCAAAAAGAATTGATGAGTGCCTTCTGTCTTTTTAAATCAAGCATCCATCAGAAGAGTGCATTTGAGTCAGCTGAAGATCGATCAGAAATGTGAATCTGAAAATTTGAGATTTAGTGAGGTAGTGATGGTTAATTCTAAGACTGATTATCTTTCCTGTAAAGTCACTAAGAAAGTAACTGGAAATTCAGTTCTTCAAAAACAGATCCTTCAGCAGCCTCACCTCCCACTCCCCACTCTGGCTATTTGTTTTGCAAAATGTTCATTTATTTTCACAGTTCCCTTGGGTGTAGAAGCAAAAGTGAGTTCGTTGGAGTGGACATGGGTTGAACTTGCTGTTGATGAAACAGTAGATGTTGTTGTCTGTATGATGTATAGTCCTGGAGAGTTTTACTGCCATGTGCTTAAAGAGGATGGTAAGTTGCGTCTTCTCATTTTAAGTCTCTCTTTACAAAATACATTGGCATAGATAAGGCAAGATGCTGGGTGGTGAAGGCCAGGTGAGCGTTTGTACTTCCAAGAAAGATTGGGCTGTACTTGGTGGCCTTTTATTCCATGCAAAGCCATTATTTCTGTTTTCAACAGTTTTTGTTTTTCAACAGTTCTGTTTTTAAACCCCTTTAGATTTCACAGAATGTCCTCTAAATTCACTTTTGAAAAATCTTAATTGTTGATTTCATTGAAATGTAACATTCGTATAGATAAAAGTGCATAAATAAGAGTACAGCGTAACAAATGAGCTCAAAGTTAAAACGCTTGTGTAACCAACATCTAGGTCAAGAAATAAAACATTACCAGTAACTCAGAAGTTTCCTTCTTGTCTCCTGCAATCACTACCATGTCTTTCTTTCAAAAGTAAATACTACCTTGCCTTCTGATAATAGCATAGATTATTTTTCCCATTTTTGAACTTTATATGAATGGAATCATTCAGTATTACTCTTCTGTGCCTTGTTGCTTTTTTTCATGCTGTTTGTGAGTTTCGTCCATTTTTACACGTGGCTGTAGCTTGGTTTTTTTGTTGTTGCTACTGCATAGTGAGCAACGTGCATTATTGTATGAATGTACTGCGACTGATTGTTCCTTTCCACTGTTGGATATTTGGGTTGCTTCTAGTTCTGAGCTATAAAGTGATGTTGGTATGAACATTCTCATACAAATTTATCACACGTGTGCATGCATTGCCATTGAACCATATACCTGGGAATGAAGTTACTGGCCAAATCTTAAAGAATATGTATATTTTCAGCTTTAATCAATGAATGCCAAAACTTTTCCAAAATGATCAGAACGGTTGTCAGTTTGAGAGTTCTGGTTGCTCCACATCCTCACAAAACATTTTGTATTTTCCATCTTGCTCTCCTGAGCCATTCTGGTGAGCATTGTTGATTTTTAACTTCTCTAAATTTGGGGTTTTCTCTCTGTTAATTGAGGACTTTAAGCTAGATAACTAAGTTTCTCTCAGTTTCTGAGATTTGTCATCCCTTTGTTTGGAGTTGTCTGGTAGATAGGCTGCTGTTTCATATAGGATAAAATTTTAAAATATTTAAATTATGTTTTAATTTTCACAAGTGATTATACAAGCATATGGTACAGAATTTAAAAGTTACAGAAGAGTATATATATGGAAAGTAAGCTTCCCAGTTCCTCTTCTCAATTTCTAAATATCCTTCCAATTCATTTTCTCAATTTTCTTAGCATCTTTTCAGAAGTATGCTATACACATGCTTGTATGAGTGTATATATTCCTTCCTTTTCATGTAGGCATAAATGATAAGACATTGTAAATAATTTTTGCACTTTGACTTTTTTCTCCCAGTATATCCTAGATATCAGTTCACATAGTGTTTCCTCCATTCTTTTTAAAATACACTTTTTAAATTTTGGAATAATTTCAGATTTGCGGAAAAGTTGCAAAGATGGTACAAAGAGTTCCTGTATACCCTTCACCTAGCTTCCTCTAGAGTTAACGTCTTACGTAGTTGTGGTGTGTTTCTTACAATTAAGAGACCAACATTGGTAAACTTCTGTGAACCGAACACCAGACTTCAGTTGGAGTTTGCGAGATGTCCTTCTCCAGTGGTGGCCTTTTGCTGTTCGGGTTCCATTCCAGGATGCCACGTAGCCGTTTTGTACCTATTCTTTTTCACGGTCACATGGTATTCCACTGTGTGGCTTGATCCTAATTTAACCCAGGTGTGGACAGCTGAAGGATTAGTGTTTCCAAGCATCTATTACTAAAACAATCCTTGTACTCTGTGATTTTATTCTGAGAGCATATCCATGGGACAAACTGCTAAAACTGGCGTATGTCAGAGGATATGTGTGCTTGTGCTCTTGAGAGAGAGCGCCCTCAAGAGGTGGGCCAAGCTAACTCCCACCAGCAGTGCATGAAAGCCCTTGCCCGCACTGTTGCCAGCGGCGTGTCCTTAAACTTTCTCATTTTGGCTAATTTGAAAGGTGACAGTTGTAACCCGATAGAATTTAATTTCCATTTCTGTCAGTGGACCTTTGCCACAGATTTCAAAGATATTTTTCTTTTGTAGTGTTCACATCCCTTTACTTGGCATTTAAAACCCCTCTGTGGTGTTTTTTCCAAGCACATCTCTGGTGGTGGTCTTTGATGGTTTACCTTCCGCTCCTCGCTGCTCCCACCGAGTGTCGCCTGGCCGCTTGGTTTGGTACTTTGCCTCAGAGCTGTTTATTTCTTCTGGAATGCCGTCTCCATTCCTAGCAAACGAGGCATACTTCAGATTTCTCTACGAAACCTTTAGCACACAGAGCTCACCTCTCTGAATCTCCTTAGCAGACACTATCTGTGCCATCTACTTGGTGGTTACATATACTTCTTCAGGACAGCTTGTGTAAACTTTATTTCTGTGCAGGCCTGTGCACTGTTTCCTGGTCCACGTGCAAAGCTCACTCTGTAGTACCGACAGCAATGCCATTGCCACGTCACTGCGTCCAGGAAATTGTTGGTATGGGGTTTATCGCGAGTATTAACTGAACAGTGACTTACTTGCCCAACTTATTTTTAAATGAGGAAAAGAGAAAGGTGTTTGGTGTACTTTATGGTTGTTTGGGGATGTACCTGAGTTTTTACAATCAAAACATTTTCCAATTTTAAAGGAAAATCTGTTACTCTGAATGGTTTTAGAATATTAAATGCTGTGTTGTGTTATGTTTTCAGCTCTGAAGAAACTCAATGATTTGAACAAATTGCTAGCAGATTATTGCCAGCAGAAGTTGCCTAATGATTTTAAGGCAGAAATAGGGCAACCTTGTTGTGCTTTTTTTGTAGGTAAGTTGCAGTTGTGCAGTCTTGACTACAGTAGAATCTTCTATTTCTTGACATTGAACCCTCATTTTCAGTGTGTATTCCTGATGTTTAAGCAGATATTTTTCATAATCGGAATTAAATGAATGCTTAAGATACGCCTTTTCCTTCTGTCTTTGTAACAGGGAGCCTCCAAATGATACTTTTCTTACCTAGACTTTGCCAAATGCTTTTCTTTCCAGAATTTTTGATAACGTTAAGAGCTACAGAACGGGAGACCTGTTCACTACAGATTCATTGTTTATTCTGGTCGCCCTGTGCATGTTTATTTTGAAAATACATTTGATGAAACGCCTTAATTTCATTGCAGGTTTTTCTTATTTATTTTTGTGTTATTTACCAAGTAACAAGTAAAACACTTTCATTAGTGGTGAGAGTGTTATGTCTTCCACTTTGACAAATATGTTCAAGTTTATTAAGTCTTACCTCCTCTTCATATTCTGCTTATTGGATAGGTTATTGGAATGAAGTCTTTTAAGTTATAGTAAATGTAAAAACATGATGCTATAAAAACTTTGGAGGTATTCTAAGAATGAATTTGGAGAATTCTTGTAGGGACTTCTGAATGGAAAACAAAGTGTCATCTGGGAAGAGGGCACATTTATTAGCTACTTCAGACAAAAGATGGTCGTTTTGAAGATAAAATTCTTAAGTCTTAATTGAAGAGAAATATTCCATGTTACAAACTTTGTGTTTAATCTAGGTGACGGTAACTGGTATCGTGCTTTAGTCAAGGAAATCCTACCAACTGGAAACATTAAAGTACGTTTTGTGGATTATGGAAACACTGAAGAGGTTGCTGCAGACGAACTCCAGATGATCCCATCAGAATTTTTAGAGCTTCCGTTTCAAGGGGTACAGTGCTGGCTAGCAGGTACGGTGCAGAGTAAGAAATTTTCTCAACTGTCTTCTGATATTTACGGTACATAAACTTCTCAGTGTTTATGTAATTTTAATGTTTTGTGTTAAGTTAGTAGATCCTGTTTCATATTATGAAATTTAGAAACGTGGCTTAGTAAGCTGGTCAGAATGTCCAGTGTTGATGTCCGTGTAGGGAAGCAGCTGCTATACGTGTGATGGGGGGTCAAAACCGATGCCTTCTTTTGAAGGCATTTTGCAGGATTCCTTAAGAGCCTCAAATAGTCCTACTTTTTATCTTAGCATTTTTGCTTGTAATAATTTATCCCAAAGAAATACTAATCTTGTCATTTCACAAAGTTCACCTCCATGGAAATTCATTACACTGCTGTTAATAATAGCAACACAACCTCAATAGCCAATAACAGAGGGTTGGTTGAGTGAGGAGCTATACAATGGGAGGTGGTAGTACCTGTTTCACAGGGCTATGGTGGGGAGTAAGTGAATGTTTAGATCAGGGCCTGGCACTCAGGATGTTGTGTTTGCTCTTATTACACAGTCATTAAAGTGATGTTAAATGTGTGTTATTGATACGAAGAATAGTTCATGATTTAAGTGAAGGAAGCAAGTTATAATAGGGACACCAGGTGGCATTGTGATTGAGAGGACAGACTACAGCCAGCTCTGCTGCCTACTAACTCTGCGACCTTAATGTAAACTGTTTAAACTCTCTGCATCTCCTTTCCCTTACCTGGGAAATAACGGTGCCATCCTCAAAGAGGTGCTAGGAATAAAAGAGGTACAAAATATAAAGCCTGGCCATTACTGCTCCTGTACCTACCCATAATAGTTGTTTTTTATTGTAAACATTTCTTTATAAAAGAATTATGAGTACATATGTGCATGTGTATATTTCTGTGTGCATGTGAAGGCTGTGGAGGGTTGGGTACCAAAATGTTAACGGTGATCATGTCTGAAAGCATTAGATGCTTTTTATTTTTCCTCTTGCCTGTTCGTTTTCTTTCCACTTATTTTACACTAAGTATGTTTGGGATCATTGTTTTTAATTACCATGTTTTATTATGTCAGTGCTTCTTAAAATGTGATCCTACCTCAGCCAGTATCAACATGAGAACTTGTTAAAAATGCAGACTCTCAGTCCTCACCCAAGACCTACTAGTAAATTGGAAACTCTAGGCTAGGACTTCAAAATCTGTTTCCACAAGCCCTCTAGGTAATTCAAATGCATACCCAAGTTTAGAAATCACTGTTATGAAAATAAGGGTATGACCCAAAGTTACCTAAGAAAAATAATTTTTGGTTAAGTAATTTTAAAATGACATTTTGAAATTATTGTTGGACAGCTGTCCACAAAGGTGAAAGTGGATGTTTAACATCTTTTGCTAGAATAATTGGTAACTAACGTATCACTGTGTATGTAACAATGATGGCTTCTAAAAGAAATAATAATTCTATTTTTGCCTGTTGGGGAAAATGCGTGGTGAAGATGTGTTAGAGGGGGAAGTAAGGACAGATCTTGAATCTCCTAAAACCCTAGGAGTGTATTTGCAGACGCATTATCTGTAACCCAGGCATGGAGGATGAAATGTGTAATTGATTATTGAAAAAAGATAACTCAAAATCGCTGACCTGAATGGTAAACTTGGCAAAGGTCCAGTCCTGGTTACTCTTGAGGCACAAGTGCAGCTTTGGGGCACAGGATTCTTTTTAATGCTGTTCTTGTTTGTCAGTTACACAGCCTAGAAACAGACATTGGACGAAAGAAGCCATAGCAAGATTCCAGGCGTGTGTTGCAGGGAAAAAACTCCAAGCCCGAGTGGTTGAAATCAGTGAAAATGGAGTGGGAATTGAACTCACCGATCTTTCCACTTCTTATCCCAGAATAATTGATGATGTTCTGATTGATGAACATTTGGCGTTAAAAGCTAGTTCACCACATAAAGATTTAGCAAACAATATACCTGTTAATAAACATGATCTTCAAATCGATGCCCCAGGCCTTCAAGGTAACATTTTAAAACCATTTATTATTTAAATTTATGTTATCCTTTGCTTTTATAGGCTATGAAAATTTTTATATTCTAAGTGACATGATTTTCCTATATAAACATGCTTTGTGGAAATAGATGAGTAATAGATCATTTAAAGTTAGTTTAGTATTTATTGAAACATGGTTTTATAAATTAGCACTATACTCATCTTTAATGTAGTAACTCATCAGGTAAACATGCATCATACAACTATGTATCCCTTCAAGTTTTAATATGTTTTAAGAATTACATTAAACATACTACAGAAAAGGAAACACACTACTGAAATATGCTATAGGAATGTAGTAGTTTAAAGCTTCTCATTATAGATTGAACTTTTTTGTAATACTGACGGAAATCTCTCAAATTAAACATATTCTTTTGTGAAAAGAAAAGTTTTAATTTTGGGAATGTGGGCACGTTGATGATCAGTAGGATGTTAATTCATCTTTTTCATGTGGGACCTGTGTTGCAGCCATCTCTTCAGCTGAGCAATGGAGGACAATTGAATTGCCAATAAATAAAACTGTACAAGCAAGCGTATTAGAAATCGTAAACCCAAACTTGTTTTATGCTCTACCAAGTGAAGTGGCAGGTAAGAAACCAAAGTTTGAGACATATTTATGCTGATCTTTTAAACCCTAGAATGAACTTATCTGAACTCCTTAGTAAGTGAGGGGAAAAAGAGAAGGTGATGGTTTCTGTTTCACTCAATGTTTTAATTGATCATAACATCATTTAATGAAAATTTAATTGTAAAAACACAGATGTGAATGTGAGGGGAATGCCCTGCATTCAGCGCCTGTTCCACTGGTCTTGATAATCTACAGGTCTTTATAACAGGACGGCATCTTTAATTACTGTATGATTTCCATAGGTACTATCTGTACTGAATTGTATTTATTAAGCCATTTAAGAGAATTTGAAGCAAAACTGTTTTAGATATATTGAAAGAGTATTTTGTAGTCAGTCTATAATCACAGTGTTACTGTATCTTGGAGACTGAGGGAAATGTTTTACACTGGACTGAATCATGAGTAAGAGTAGTGTATAGTGTTGACTTTAATTTTCCTTTTCAGTTTCATGAAAGTTTACAATTAATGCATCTCTTCAGTGTACTTAAGTTTATTCTTGTAGTATCAGAAGGTGAGTTAGTACAAGTTGGCTGTTCAAAATAATTTGTAGGAACTTGAAGCCTGAAAAAAATGACCTTTTTTTTTCCAAATGGTCAAAACCAATAATTGTGGTGATGCAATCACTGCTAGTAAATGTATCTTCAGTATGACTAATAATCTTTAATCTGTATAATAAAAAGCAGGGGTTTAGGATTATCCATCCTGACAAGAACATACAATATGGTGAAATACTGTTTCATTTTATTAACTGTAACACACTTCCTGAAAAGTATACTGAACAATATTGTAAAACTACAGCTTAACAAGTTTTCATAGAGTGAACACGCTAGAAGAGCCACCTGATCAACAAATTAGCCCACCAGTGGCTTCCTTCTTGCTCCCTCCCAGTATTGCATCCCTTCCCCACAAGGTGACCAATAGTGGTTTTATCTGTTTTTAAAATGTAATGTATATTTTAATATACATGGGTTCTTTGTTGAGTGATTAGATTAGACGTTCCTTTTTATATACTTTTATGAATAGTAGCCTTGAAAATTTCTTCACAAATTACTGTTGTTTATATATTTTAGAACAGGAAAAACTGTGTGTATTGACAGCTGAATTGTTAGAATTTTGCAATGCTCAGAAAAGTAGATCGGCCTATAGACCAAAAATTGGAGATGCGTGCTGTGCCAAATACACAAGTAAGAGTCTTTTTGGTCAAATATTAAAGGGAAGATATTTGTCTGTTTTCTTTTATAAGAGAGTATGTGGGCTTTGTCGTTTTAGATGTGGATTTCACTTGGATAGGCAGAGAAATTAAGAAAGGCAAGGTTGTTGGTTTAATCCGTATGGTGGGGTTATTCACCTTCCCTGTTCCACAGCTACAGCGTATATTTCCACTAGGATGTGGGTAAATAGCTGTAAGTCTGTCGGTACTTCTAGGTAACTGTATATGTCTTACATTGATCAACAACATTATAAATGGAGGGACTGCAAGTAATTTGTAGAACTCTGAATGTCCTAAAAAAATGAAATGCCTTAGGAAGGCCAGACTCACTGAATGGGGTATTCTTTAACCATTCTCCTCTGTTTAATATTTCATTGTTAACAAATTCCTTTGGCTTGTATAGATAACACTTACAGTGAATATTCTTGGGCCGACATTTTGGTAGCCGTAAATACTTTAGGGTGAATTTTCGGGGCTAGAATTCCTGAGTCAAAGGATGTAGCCTGTTTTGTAAGTTCTGGAAGCATGTTGGTCGTATGTGCCACATGTGCCATAAGTTTGTGAGGGGCCAGTTTCGTCACCCTCTTACCAGCAGTGGATTAAAAGTGGCTTTGATCTGCTGCCTAAAGAGTGTTCATTTTAAAATTTAGATTTCCAGTTAAAAAATTTATTTAGTTTTATTTTTCTTTTGTATGGCAACTGGATGCACAGTTTCCCTCTCTTTCTTCTCAGTAGAAATGTGTCATAATTTTTGGTTAGGTAAGTACTACTTTATTAGATTGCACGAACACTATTCACAGCCTAGCCACGTAGTTACTGTAATTACGTTTTCTTTCGCAGCAGCTTTTTTTGTTACTAATGTTCTATCATTTTACTGGTAATCTCCAGTTCTCTGCATGGGTGTAAATTCTCTCCATGAACACTTTGTGACCTTGGTCAGCTTTTACCATGTTGTAGGCATCTCCAGCCTTCTGGTTTGCTCTCCTGTCTACATTGCTTGTCCTCCAGACCTGAGCTGTTGTCCGGAATTTTTCTTTTACCCTCAGTGCTGGGGATTGTTTCAACGCCAGCCCCGTTTGCTCCTTGGATTTCTCTCCCACCCCACCTTGTTGGCTAGATTTCCCCTGCCTTGTCTCACCTTGTTTTCTGGATCCCTTTCTTTTGACTTACTCTTCATATTTGGGAATATCCCATCCTCTGGAAGCTGGGAAAAGGTACATGTAAGGTAAGTTTTCTGTTATCTTCCATGACTGAAAAAGCCTTTATTCTCCCCTGTTACTTGATAGCTTACCCATGTATGGAATTCTAGGTTGGAAATCATCTTTCCCTCAAAATACTGAAGACATTGTTTTTATATTGTCTTTTAGCTGTTTGTGTGGCTAGTCAAGACGTTATTCAGATTCTCCATACTTTGTACATAGTTTTTTTTCCTCCTTTCTGGAGCTTTTGGTAATCTCCTCATCCCCAGTTTTGAATTTTATGATGTGACTTGGTTTTGTGATTGGTTTTCTTTTCACGTTTGTCCTGAGCACTCAGTGGGGGGGCCTTTAGTCCAGAAATTCATGAGCGTCGGTTTTGAGAAATTTTTTTTGAATTCACTCATTCCCTTCTTTCATATTCTGCTGGTTTATGAACTCAAAATATTCTGATGTTGGACTTACACTTTTCTGCTGTATTTCCTTTGTTCTGTTTTTCAAGAGATTTCCTCAATTTTATCTTCCAACTTGTCTTCATTTTTAGTATCACTTTTCTGGTTTCAGTAGCTTTTTTGTTTTCTCAAATGTGTGTTTTTAAGACTGTCTTGGTACTCATTTCAAGGAGGAAAGGCCATTTTTCTGAGGATTTTTGTATCATTCTTTTCATTTCCGTGGTCTTCTCCATCCTTGGTCACTGTTTCCTTGAGTTCCTGTTTTGGCCTTCGTCTTTTATGTTGGAGACTTTGTTTTACTACTTGGTCAACCTTTGCTGTTCACTTATTTTAAATGGTGCACTAAGAAGCTAACTGGGAGTTTCTCTGTGCGTGGGCAGAGCTCGTCCACTTGGTGGGTGTCGCTGCAGGGTGGCCCGGCTCTGCCGTTTCACTGGGGACTCCTGACGCTGGTGTCTTGAAGTGCTTTTGCTTGAGATGGTTGTCTCCTGCCTGGAGTCCGTAGCTTGCCTGACAGTCATCTTGTAAACGTCTCTGTTTGTTCTGCATCATGTTCCCCAGTCTACAGTCTGCGTGGGGAAGAAACCAGTCTTCTGTCCGTGGGTAGGAGCAGCTGCCCGGAAAAGGGGGAATTTTCTAAGCTCTGTTAAAACATGTAAACATAAAACTCATCTTTCTCTTTAGCAACTTTAAAAATAGGTATTATGTGTAAGTGTATTTATAAACTAAAGTCTATATGTCTGAGGAAGTAACTCTGCTTCTGTTACCCAGTCCCCATTTTCAGCTCCATCTTTACTCCTACTGTTGTATGAGTAGCACCAAATATTGACCTTGGTTGCTTGGGGATTTGAGACACAAACAGGGTGCTTCTTGGCTTCCTTACAGCCAGCTTTAGTTGAGCTCTGCTCTATCATTTCCATTCATGCATCTGCTTTCCAGCTTCCAGTGTCATACTGTCTTCTCTCTTGTTCTCTATCCTTGTGGTTTTAGGCTTTTTTCTGTTTAATTCTGTAACTCTCTTTTAAGTAGAATATGGAAGGAGTAGAGTAGAGGTTATGGTTGTATTTAATCTAAACTTCTTGGCATGAAATCAGAAATCTTGGTGTGAATATCTAAGTGATACAAATGTAACTGTAAAGAGCCATCCTAAGGGCAGAGGGCATCACTGAATGTAACTTCTTACCTGAGATTCCGTTGTGTTTTCAGAAGATGACTTCTGGTACCGTGCCGTTGTTCTGGGGACATCGGATGCTGATGTGAAAGTGCTCTACGCGGACTATGGAAACATTGAAACTCTGCCTCTCTGCAGAGTGCAGCCAATCCCTGCCAGCCACCTGCAGCTTCCTTTCCAAATTATTAAATGTTCTTTCGAAGGTAGACAGTTAAGTCACTTTCCAACTTGGGTGACTGTGGGATTTTTTTTTCCTTCCTTTTGTAGCCCAAAGTCTGAAACAAGAGGGTATTTTAAGCAACTGCCCAGATTTCCAAATATCAAGCAGAGCTTACCAAAAGAATCTCGTATCATTTAATTATTCTTTCTTTCACCTTACAAAAATTGCATTCGATTGTTCTATATTTGTTTTACAGATCAGCTTCTGAGAATCAAGGTTCAGAGATTGTGATTTGTGCTAGGTTGCAAGGCTAGTACGTGACAGGGCCAGGATGACCTGGGGTCAGTCATCTGACCGCTCGCATGGAGGTCTCTGCTTTGTCACAGAGACTAGAGACATTCAAATGACACCATTTTGGGCTACCTTCCTGTTTGTATTATATCTGCATGTTTATTCAGCCCTTTAGTGGGAATTTGAATAAAGTAAACTAAAATGCTCAAGTAGCTTTTTATTTTTACTCCCGATTTCTCTACCCAGAGGTTCCCAGCAGATGGTAACACACTGAATGCCTCACAGTCCGCTTTGGTTTTGACTCAGACTTGCAAAATTATCTTTATTATTGTTGCTTCTCCCATTAGAATATATGTCCATGAAGGTGGATATTTGTTTTTAGCCCTCTAGATCTAAATTAGTGCTTCACACGTAGGAGGGATTGATGAATATGTATTACGTTTGATTTTTTTGAATGCAACAGCAATAGTGCGTCAAAGCATACCTAAACCTAGCTGAAATCAGTGAGCCTTTTGCTTATTATCCTTAGGTAATTTATCTAAATATTAGCTTTAAGGGACTTGAAGATTGACTCTAACATTCAGTTTTTTTTTCCAGGACTAATGGAATTGAATGGAAGCTGTTCTCAATTAATGATAGAACTACTAAAAAATTTCATGTTGGATCAGAATGTAATGCTTTCTGTAAAAGGAATTATCAAGAATGTCCACATAGTTTTGGTTGAGAAGTGTTCTGAGAAGGGTACTGTCAATATAGCTGATAAGCTGGTGATGTACGGTCTGGCAAAAAACATCACATCGAAAAACCAAAGTGCTTTAAATAAAGGTATGTTTTTCAGGCTTAATTACTTATAAGTGTAACCAAGAACAGATGTAATCAATTTAGTTGACCTGATCTTTCCTTATTCTCCACGGCCACATCCCATTTGTCCTCCTCTGTAAATCCAGTGGCACTGTGTTCACTCACGGTGCCACCTCTGAGGAGCTGCCTGAAGGGAAGCGGGCCTTGCAGTCTGGGTTTTTCTTAGATGAGGCTCAGCAGCATCATGTTGATACAGCGTCGATGCTGAGAGCTGTAGAAATGTCAAGCACTCAGAACTCACTTGCAGCCTCCTTTTGATCCTGATCAGAGTGAGAGGAACTTGTATTTTTGAAAATGGATCTACTGGTTCTTTCATATGATGATGATTTGGCAGGTCTGCCCTTAAAGGAGAGATCTCGTGTATGACAAACAAAGACCTAAAACCTTGGCGGTGAGGGTGCTCATTTGGGATAACCCAGGACACAATATAGATAACGTTAAAGCCCAAATGGAAAGTTAATCATTCAAGTCCTCTGTAGTCCGAAAGGATCTGCCCTGAGATCTGTTTATATTCAGCCTCCAGGGGTTATTTTTTTCCTGTTATTTATAATGTGTGTTGTCTGATAATGGCTTTTTGTATTTGCTTTTAGAAAAGATGAACAGGGTGAATTGCTGCTGCACAGAGTTACAGAAACAAGTGGGTAAAATTTCCTTTAAGTGAAATTATACTCAGCATTTTTAGGAATGAAGTAACACTATTTATTTTTCACCCTCAGGTTGAAAAACATGAGCAGATTCTTCTCTTCCTCTTAAACAATCCAACCAATCAAAATAAATTTATTGAAATGAAAAAATTGTTAAAAAGTTAAGTAAGTTAAGTTAAATTTATGTTTTTTATCACTTCTGTAACCACCAACAGGACATCTCTAATCATGTCAGGACAGAGCTAATAGGGTGAAGCACATTTTGAGGCTGTACTTTATTTTGTGATCTAATGATCGCAAGGTCTGGCTGTAACGTTTTTGCTGCCTTCCTAGGTTTTGTTTGCTAACCTCACGTTGACCCTACTATTGGGGCTGAGTCCAGGGCCCTCCGGGTTGCAGCCTCCTTCCCTTACTGTGGTTTGACCTAGAGAGAGCTCATGATGGTGGGTGCAGGGACTTGTAAGATTGTTGTGAGATGAAGCTTAACCTGAAATTCCTTGTTTCTGGAGTGAAATTAACTCTCCCCGGTGTGCACATCTGTAAAAACAGCACTTTTTGTGAAGAGGTCCTAAGGGGCCAAGAATGGAAAATGGGCTTCACTGATACAAAATTTCATTTCAGAACAAAGCATTCTCTTCCTCTTTTGTCTGTGGTGACTGTAGGAGTTAAAGATAACGTGAGTGAGTTTTGCATAGTGACTCCCCCACTTTTTTGCTGTCTGGGATCCTTTGTTCTAAGATGGCCCCCAGAAATTACTTTGTGATCACTAGCCAATTAGAACTTCTGACCAAAATGAAATTGTCCTTGCCAAAAGCAAGGGATCTATGACTTATTTAAGGCGTGCACTCCTGTGGGCTGAAGTGCAGCTTAGATCCCACCACTTGCAGATAGCTCCCGGGGCCCTTCTGCTCCCTGGGGCCCTGCAGGCTGGCTGCTCTCAAGGATGTACCTGCTGGGCCAGACTGTTCTCCACATGGTAACAGACAGTTGTTCTATTTCTGCTTCTAAGGAAGTACAGCTAAGTTCTGAGCTAAATGTCATTCATGCAAAATCAACAGTTTGAGTCTCATGATTTATTTGGAGATAATTTATTTCTTTTACTTCACAAGTTTTGGTTTATTTTTAATAAATGCTGAATTACAATTGCGGTGACAACTTCCAGTCCTTTCTAATACATTAAGTTTTTAAACTGACTGCTGTTTTGTGTAAAGTTTAAAATCTTAAATTTTATGATAGGTTTAATTTCATAGATTGAGGAACACACAGTGACATGAGCTTCTGAAATATAGTCCTAGAACCAGATCATCATATTTTTAATCAAGTTGATTAATTTGATGTGCTTTTATTTTTTATTTGGGCCATAAGCTTTTTTCCCCCACAAAAATATTGAGAGTGCTTGCATATACAACTTAAGATGAAACCTGTATTTTCTATTGTTTGTAAATAGATTGAAGGCATTAGTTAAAAAAAACTTGATTGAAAACATAGTAGTTGCACTGGCTTTTCCCCTATTGTGGGAATAAATACATATTTTGTCTACCTTTGAATACAGTATAATACCCTGTATTTGGGGAGTGCCTTATTTAAAAAACACTTTCGCATCTAGTTACATATTTAATCTTCACAGTACCCTGCAGATTAAAAGAAGGTAGACCTCATTTCCTAGAGGAGGAAGCAAAGGCTCAAGGAGGTTAAATGGCTGCCCCAAAATCTCACACGCAGACTGGAAAGCGGGTCTTATAACCCAAAGCTGAGCTCTCTGTCCTGCCCTTCGCTGCTTACCTGGATGCTGTGCTACAATACCATTTTAGATTAGATCCGTTTTGAAGGGCATGAAACTAAGGGGTTTTATTATTAGGAAAAAAGTCACATAACATGGTTGCTTAAGCATACTTCATTGTGGTGAGAATATTGTTGAGTATTTAGTCATTTAAATTATCCTTCCTAGAGACAGAGAAAATGTACTTGAAGTTTTAGTGTTTCATCATCTCTGGAGAAATTTGTTTTAATTTGTTAGTAATTGTAAAATTGCAGAAGTAGGAAGCTGTGTGTTGATGAGGACATAAAACTGTCACTCAAAAGTGTTCAGCATACAGGTAATATAAAACATTAGGCGGAGACCAAATGGCTGTTTATGTTTAAAGCGCGTGCAAACAGCTGTATTAAACGCTGTAATGACGGTGAATTTTTTTAACTGGCAGATCTGACTTAAATCTGTAATTTCAGTTCAAAGTGAACATTTGATTTGCTTGTACTTAAGATAGAAGTTAAGAACTGTAGTGACTGAGTTTTTATATAAGGCGTAATGATAGTTGATTTTTCTCTTGCAGAAACAGTCTCTTGGAGATAAAACACTTACGAGAAAGGAAACAGCGAAGGCTAGACTTAGGAGAGAAAGTACAGCATCTCGTGTTTTTGTTTAGTGGGAACTTAATGGCCTTTTACGCCTTCATTTCTGTTTGCTTACCACTCTTCTATTTAGGTTGGGTAGTTGTATTTTTCCCCCTGTAATTTCTTCCTCCCAAGGAAGTCGTGCATGAAAGATTGATACCAAATGCCTGGGAGTATCGGGAAGGCATGCATAGGAGCTTTTCCAGTGTATATATAACTTTTTATTACTTAAAGTTTCTGAAGAAAATATGGCTCCACGTCAGTACTGGATCAGTCTAATTGGTACACGAGTGTTATTTTTTGGACTTTATGTATGTTTGATGTATTTCATAATAAAATGTGTCTTCTCCCTATCACAGTCGGCCTCTTTCACATAATAAATGTTCTCTGGTTTGTCGTTGCTTCGATCTCTGCTCATCTTTTCCTGAGGCTCCGGGGTCATCAGCCTCTTTCTCTCCATCCTGACGTGGGTCACTTGTCCTTCGGCCCTTGGGCTCGCAGCGCGTGACCCCGGAAGGCACCTTCTCTTTCTGCTCCTGCCACGCAGAGGTGCCTTTCCAGATCTGTAGCCACTAGATTTTTAGTGTAGATAGAATTTACATTTTCTGAAGCACAAATAAGGTTAACAATTTAAGCTAAAAAGCTAAGTTATATAAAAGCTGAGTATATATTTTTCTTGAAGTGCATAGTCATCTTAAACTCTAAACTCACATGTGCAGAACTTAGGGCCAGCTGACTTTCCGGCCAGCCCCTAAGTTTCTGTTAGGGAATTTTCCCATGATTTAAGTATCAGACTGTGACAACAACCTAAGAAGATATCACCAGCTCAAAGAAGAAACTTGACTTTTTTTTTCTTTTACTGAGATAATATGTACCAGTTAGATTAAATGGAGTTTTTCCTCATGTAAAAAGTTGTTCAAACATTGATGTGCTTCTATTAGATAAAACTTCAAGCTGCTCTGCCCAGTAACATTCTTTGAACTTCACAGCCAGATTTCCCATGTGTTCTTACTGCCAGCAGCATTTTTACTAACTTCCTTTCCTTACTGGCACGTACTAGGAGCACTGGACACTTAGTTCGTTTATACCCTGTTCAATTCCAGCCACAATGAAAATGCAAATGAAAACTGTGCAATCACAGAATTGGCCTTGTTATTAAGGAAAATTAAGGGAAGCAAGTCAAAGAACACATAAAAAAAAATCTCAAGTCGAAGTTCATCAGATTCCAAGGTTTTATCATATGGTAGATGCCGGAAATTTGAAGAGAAACACGTGGAATGGGGTTTAATATTATTTCATTGTTGAGCTATTTGCCTTGTTCCCAGAGACAGACTAAATCTAAAGTGCTAGACTCACAAGTAGAGATATAGGTTAAGTGTCTCCTGGATTAATTCTACATACTCTCACACTGGACCACCAGATCTTATTTTTGAGTAGGTTAAAGAAATTTCCTACTTGAGCATTAATATTTAGTGATTAATTAATCAATCATTAATATTTGTTGAGCCCAAGCCGTGTGCCTGACGCTGAGGTAGGCGCTGTATTTACTGCTCAGTAGGGCCACGTGGGGCCCGTCCCAGCCCCAGCCCCAAGGCTCCCTCCCGATGCAGAGTTCAGTCACAGACGAGTACACCAGAACTGACATCGTGATAGTTTATTCCTTGGCAGAGGCCATGTAAATACTGAGGCAAATCACATCCATTTTGCAAAGGAAGAGATTCTTAACAACATGGATTAAGCAATGAACTGGGAAGTGGGGGAAGATGGATTTGATAGGCCTTTTGGTAGAATTTTTTTCACTAGGGCTGCCAAAAATGTAAAAGTTTCAAAATTTTGAATGAGGGTGAAAATACAGCCTGAACTCAAGCTCTCTTGATGTATAATAAATGTTCTAGAAAACTGGTATGTGAGGATCCTTATCAGCAGGGCCCTAAAACTGCCAGGTTCTAGGGGAGGAATAAGGTCGCTGTGCGCCCCGCTGTTCTGAGGCCGCCAGCCCAAAGCAATAAAGCATTAATGTGACCAACCATCACCAGCACGACTGCCGCCTGGATCTGGCAGATTGAGCTCTTCTGGGATGAGCCCGAGTGACCCTGGGCTACTCGCTAGTGCGGGTGTTCTGTAGCCAGATCCACATCCAAGCGGTTCTTACTCGTTAAACACAGAAGGTTCTCAAAGGTGCCATTTGTTTTTCCAAATAAAAGAAGTTGGAGGGCAGATGGTGTTTCCACACATACAGTTAAGAGTTGGAGGATGGTTTTTCCTGCCGGAATTAAAGGGAGGTTCAGATGCAGTAAGCCTTCTGTCCGTATGCACGGGGCGAGAGTGGCAGAGGGCTCCCCCAGGAACCGCTGACACCTTTTCTGTGCCTGAACATTGTTCAGATTACTGTTCAGGCACTGCAGTCTGACCTCCCTCGGAAAGTTCTTGAATCTTGTCAGTAGCTTTCAGATAACAACTTTGGTTTCATGCCCAATCTCAGCCATTTTCCTGTGCTTTCCTTTTACCTTGAGACCCTGAGATGGTGCTGTTTTTAAAACCTTGTCCTGATACCCTTTTGATGAGCACATGCTCACCTGTAAAACGAGCCTTCCAGGAAGTGAGATGGACCATGAGGTTGATAAAAGGCAGGCAGAGCCTGCTCTGCTGCCTCCAGGGGTGCACCCAGATTCCTCTCAAAATGCATTCAGTGAGTACTTCTTTTAAGGCCTGCCCGTGCATCTGAAAACTAAAGATACACAATTTGGGAATACTGACAGTTTTGAAGTAGAGTGCTTATGCAGTTTGGGATGTTGGTTGAATGACTAAATGTTACTCAGCCCTTTGCCTTTGTAGACGTCTATTCCATGTTTACTTGATGCAGCCAGAAAGCATCACATTTTCCAAAAGTAAATCCAGTAAAACCCTGTGCATAATTCTTTTTACGGAGTCGAGACGCTTTAATCCTTAGACCAGTTGCTCCCTGCCCCAAACCTAAGGGTCTTTGGCTTCAAGATGGCAGTATTTCTGTTCCTCATGTCCCTCTGCCACACTTTGTTTTCTCGCACTGCCCTTAGCTCCAGTTTTTGCTCTGGCTTAATTTGCTGCCTGTGGAGCACTTCAGAATCAGGCCCTTTGTTTGCTCTAAGATGGTTTCTTTGCCATTTAATATGCTTTGTTTCCTGTTCTTTCACTTCTCAACAAGAGGGTTCTAGCTGCTCTGTGGGTTCTGGGAAATCCACAACTTTTGTGGCTCTATTATGCATCCTCCTTTGGGTTTTTTTTTTTTTTTAATGTGAGCTTCACCTTGCTTTATCATTTGGGGGACTGGATGCAAAGAATTTGAATTGGGCTCCCATAAATTAGGGAAACAGTCTACCCACCAACTTCTAATTTTATAGGCCAGGGAACTGAACATTCAATCAAAAATTATGCATCTTTTCTCTGGCAGAAAGCCAGTAGGGAGGAGAGCTGGAATGGGAACCCAAAACCTTACCTCCAAAGCAGTGCTTGCTCCACTGCCCCGGGCGTCTCCCGCTGCACACTGCTGAGCGCTGGAGTCTCCATTTCTCTCTGCGTGGAATTCAAAGTTGTCTTCGTGCCTTGTGTGTTTACCACTGAGACGTGCTGTACAGGGTAATTCACGAGTTAGTTCACGTTTTTAAAGGTCACTTACTATGGAGAGTTATCAAGCATCAGAGCCACTAAGACGAATAAGGCAAGTCCTTGGAAGCAAGAGGCTCGCAAGCCCTTTGGGATGAAGGTCCTTCGTGGTAACTATTTTTCAAATTTCCACAGGTCTTTGCAAAGGAGGCATTGCCAGGGTGACAAAAGCAATAGTCCAGCTTCTCTGTATTAAAAGCGTCTACTGTTCGTCTCTGTCTCACTCAGCACCCTCCAGGGCCTGGGCCACCTGCTTTTCCGCCTCCCCACACCCACACCTGATAGAAAGACACACTGACTAAACTTTGACGTGAAGAAGTTCAAAGAAACTGATGTCTCCACCAGTATTGTATAGTTTCAGCCTTTTTACTTTTCATTCATGGAATGAAAATGTGAAACACCCCCAACTAAAGATTTAAAACTGTCAGGAACATCCAGCATTTAAATGGGGCTTCTCTAAGGTAAACCTGCTTAGGCAAAGGCGTGCTGGTAAATGTTACCAACCAATCCGAACAGGTAGGGGAGAGGGCTGTCAGCTGTGAAACGCCCACTTTTACCAGGGCTTGGTCTGCTCTTCTCAAACCTCTGCTCTGTCTAGAGTGGCACAGGCCACCCCGACTTGTGGCTACTGAACACTTAAAATGTGGCTAGTCCAAATGGAGCTGTGCTGAAAATGTGAAGTGCAACAGAACTCCAAAGACTTAGCTTAAAATAGCTCTTACATTGATTACATATTGAGATAATATTTGGGAGCTACTGGGTAATTAAATTAAGTTCACATGTTCCTTTTCAAGTTAATGTGGCTACTAGAATCTTTAAAATCACCTGTGGCTTGCATTGCATTGCATCACCTGCCTGGGACAATGTCCATCTAGAGGCAGAGACCCTCCCCCTCTCTCCCCAAGGAGCATTTAGACCTGCAGTCAAGTTCCTCTGCACAGGTGCTCATGAGTTAACGTCTGCTGTTCGGGTGCAGCTGTGTTTTTACATTTGGGTGCTCAGTAAATGTTATTGGGAGGAACGAATGAGGTGAAAAATTGAAGCCTCTTTTTCTCTTCTTTGGTGAAGTTTGCAACTTTATATTAGCCGGGGCCACTTTTGTTGGAAGCTGTCCATATGGGGAAGGTTGGAAACTAATTGAGAACCACCAAGGGAAATGTGATGTTTTTAGGATTTTTTGAAAAGGAAAGGTGTAAAAACAAAATTGTTATTAGTCTATCAGATTGATATTTACAAGAATACAAGAATAATGGGAAAGGGACATGGAAAAGAGGAAACAGGTCAGTCTTCCTGGGGCAGTTTGACAATACACAGCAAAAGCCTTAATTACACACACACGCCCTACAGCTCTTTCTTGCAAGGGATTAATTGGACAAAAGCACAAATATCTAACTTACAGGGGAAAGGGGGTGGAAAGGGATAAACTGGGAGTTCCAGATTTGCAAATATTAACTACTATATGTTAAATAGATAAACAAGTTCCTCTGTATAGCAGGGAACTATATTCAATATCTTGTAGTAAACTTTTTCAATTAAAAAAAGCAGATAGGTGGATAGGTTAAGTACACTAGAACAGTAAGTGTAGCTAAAAGCACAGAAAGATGTTCAAGAAGGGAAATAGAAAAGCTGGTTATGACACTGCATGGAATGAACTAAAAATTTTTTCATGTGGAGGATGACGCTGGGAGAACTAACAGCATAGTTTCAACAGCGATTATCTCTGGGTAGTGGAGTAGGTGTGGTTTGCTTCTTGGCACTTTTTTTTTTTTTTTTTTGTAATGATCCCACATCATGTAATGACACTTTGGATGGCGTTTGGGAACTACAGATGATGCAATCAATAGTAGCCAACGTTTACTGAGTGCTTACTATGCAAAAGACATTGTGCTACTTTGCTCTGCGGTGGTTGATTTAAAAAAATCAGAGCACCTTCCAAACTTAAACGAGGATGCTGGCCAAATAGGCCCGCTTATTACCGCCCAACGGCAATAACAGGACAGACAGGTAAACAAACGGCAATTGCCATGACAAATAGAAACGATGCCAAAGTCAACATTTTCGCACGGGTCGCAGCAATAAATCCTGCGGAGTCTAGAGCAGATGGCTTAGTGTTCCTTGCTGCACCGCTCGGAGGCTGGGAGACCAGAGCAGAAGTAAGCACCTTTGTTTATTTGCCGACCTTGGCCAGCCCATTGTTTATAAAAGAAAGAGGCGCTGCGAGCCGGGTTTCCAAAAGCGCGATGCGCCCTCCTTGGGAAAGCGACCCCAAGGGGGTCGGCCGGCGCCGCGCTCCCCGCCTCCCCTCGAGAAGGAACACAGGTGTCCCACGTGGCTCCCGCCCCGGCCGCCCCTTCCCCGGGCTCGCAGCGCCCCCTGGCCCGAGCCGGGTCCTGCGGCGCGCTCTTCGCCGCGCGGGTCCGGGTGAGCCCAGCCCCGAGGGGTCTGCGCGCGGCGGCCCGGCTCTCGGCCTGGGGGGGGCGCCGCTTCCCTCCTCGCGCTGGCGGGGGCGGAGAGCCCCGCCCCCAGGCGCGCCGGCCCGGCGTGCCGAGACCGTGCGGCCCCGCGTGGACGCGGCGTCGGCGCGGCGGGGTGGGTTCCGCTTTGTCTGCGCTCCACCTGAGCGCGCCCGCGCGCCTCTCCGGGAAGTCGGCGTCCCGAGGCAGGGCGCACCTAGCGCGCGCGCTCTCCGGGATCCCCGCGGTCCAGCCCCGGGCGAGCCGGCGGGGGCGTCTAGGGAGCCGGGGAGCAGCCCCTCCCATGGGTCCCCGGCACCAGAGCGCAGAGTCGCGGGGCGCGGACCGCAGGTAAGGGGACAGGGGCTCGGTGTCTGTGGGTGGAGGGAACCACTATTACAGCGGCCCTGCTCAGCGCGGTCTTGGAGCCCCTAACCTGGCTCGCCTTTTGAATAAAGGCTTTGGGGACGTGCCCAAGCCTCCCTCCTCCCATTTTACACCGCATATGCAGGTGTTAGAGTCACTCCCGCGCCGTTTAACCAAGCAGCCGAGTGCCCTCATCCAGGTCTGCGTGCAGAGCCTGAGAAGGGCCCGCTGCCCTGAGAAACTTGCCCTTGGTCTATGGGAAGGCCAAGGGATGTATCCTCCATGGTGATTTCACCTGTTGGGCCCCCCCTAACCCCACACTGGCCAGCTAGCCCGGCCCTGCTTCCTGCACTTCTCCAGCTCGGAGCCTGGCTCTTGTGATGAGAAAGGGAAGAGGCTCAGAATTGCACTTTAGAAACTTGCCAGGGTGGCCACCCAGGCAGAAGGGAAGGGAGGAGGGCACCTTGCTGTCCTCTCATTGTGGAATCAGTGGCTGTCGAACTGAGAGGGGTCTTTCCACGGGGACACCATGCATTGTGTTTGGTGTCTTGGACTGAATAATCAGAACCTGGACAATTTTCAAATGATGTGGTCCTTTAAAAACAACCCTCCTAGAACTTCTAAGTGTTTTATAAATTGAAGTCTAAAAATTCGAGGTCTGCTTTTGCTTCCACTGTGAGATTATATTAAGAAATGTTTGTTTGTTGAGAAAAGAATCTGGAGAAGAGAAGGAAACAGAAAACTCGAGAGATCGCTGCAGTTGGCAAAGGTCTTGGGAGTTAATTTATAAATGCTGCTGGCTTTTAGTAGCCTGCAGCCATTCTTTTCCTATGGCTGATAGGGTACAGAACTCCACTAGGCTGTTCTTTGTGTGGGAACTGGCCCTTGCTCTTCTTTTGTAGAAACCCAGCTCAGAGCCATCTCTTAATGTGTAAGAATTTCCCAGACTAGGTCCCCAGGCACATCCTGAGGGCCAGGGGGATTCCTTCCTTTCTACATCATACCTGTCTGTTTGAACACCCATCAAGAACTTTAAGCCTGGTTTTAAATTTTCTTTAAATCTGGCTTTTGGTCTATCATCCAGAGCTTCCCCGTTTTCCCTCCCCCTAAACAGGCTCGGATTCCTGGAATGAATTGTAGTCAGCTGCTCATGTTTTAACAGATGAGGAAACAGCCAGAGAGGGTAGAAAACTGCCAGTGGGAGAACAGGAGAGCCTGCCGGGAACCCTGACTCCTGGGTTTTTAATGAGCTTCCTTAACAGCATGGCTGTTAATTGGCAAGTGATGACGTTGATTATAAGCTGCTGGTGAAACTGCAAAAGTTTTTTATTAAGAGTGTGCCCACCAGGTGTGCATCTTATGCAGTATTTTCACTGCATCCCTGACACCCGGGAGGATGCCGGGCACAGGGCAGGTGCTTAATAGTTTTTATTGACAAAGTTAAATTTCATACAATTATACCAGTGGAAGGGTCAGCCACACTATGAGGCATTTAGAGTAGGGGTCCTCACACAGGTGCTTAGCACATCAGTAAAAAAAACAAAAACAAAAAACGAAAACTTTTAGTTGGGAACACTGTCACAGAATGGCTGATTGTAAATTTTATCCCACAAGGATTTTTTTAAAAAAGTAAGACACACCCTTCCCAACATCTTCAAGGCTGTCAGGTCTCTTGGGGACTCTGTACAAGGGACGGGCTACCCTGTGCGACATCCTGCTTCAGCGTCTCCCCAGGCCTGCAAGCTGGGACAACTGAGCACACGTGAAGTCCCTTCCTTTGGTTCACCCCTTCATCTTCCAAACAGCTCCAGTCCGCCTACTCTTCCACCTACACAGCTACCTGCTGGGCTTCCCTGAGTATGGTTACAGTCCTCCTCCCCTTCCTTCCTTTCCTGATCCTGCATCCCTTCTCTTAACTGGATTTCCCTGATCTCCACTGAGGCCACTTTGCCCTTGCCCAGGGGACTTTGGCTCAGTAAGTCTCATGTGATACTGGCAACAACTTTTCCAGGTCATTGGGACGGGTAATGTCACCGCCATTTTTGAAAGGAGGAAATTGACTTAAGTGAAGGAGTTTACCTGAGAGGTTCATGCTCAGGTCTCCGGATGTCAGACTGATGCTCTGCACTCCAGCTGTCTGCTGCACGCTTCTTGTCTCCTCCGGGCTGCCTGCGAGAAGACCTGGCCCTGACTCTAAACTTGTGATCTGCCAGCTCTTCGACCGTGGGCCCCAGCTTCTCCAAGACTCTTTCCACATGTATAAAAGTGGAAATGATCATGTCTGCTCTATAGGGTATAAATATAGTTAAGTTATTTAATGCAATGATAATCTTTTACATTTAGAAATTATTATACTTTTAGAAAGTCTTTTATTTTCAGGGGAGCTTTGTTTCACTGGATCTTTATAACACTGTTTGTAAAACAAGAGTCACCCCATTTGACAGATGACTGAAGTGAGGTGGGGGTGGGGGAAGTTGTTGCTTTCAGAGTCACCTGGTTAGAAGCAGAGCTAGTCTGGAACTCTTCTCTGGACTTCCAGTCCTGTGTGTGTGCTTTCCAGAGTCCCCTAGCAGTGAACTTGGGTCCTGTACAGCTTCAATAAAGGGTTTTCAAATACCAGCAAAACAAACATCAAAATCTTTTCTGGCTAAAAATGCCTCTTAGCCAGTACAGTGAGTGTGGGGAGCCTGTGATTTATGTCCATCTGCCCAGCTTTCTCCCCAACCATCCAGGGAGTCAAAGGGCAAATTGTTGGTCCCTTGGTGCTGATTTCTGGTTACCAGACTCTTGGGTTCTGAAAATTTGTGATTCTCTTAAAGGGAGCATAATTGCCCAGAGCAACTTTTAAAATGCTCTTCTTGCCTTATCAAACTAGAAACATGTCCACTTCCCTTGGCTGTCTGGGTGAGAGCCGAGTATTTTGCCAAACAGACAAGGAAGATACTTGTTACAGCAAAAGACCAAGGGCTTCCTGGCTGGGGACTTTCACCTCTGATTTTAAGGTCTTCCTGTTCAGGTGTTGACTGTTCTTGTAAAGGGTTCAGATTTCTATCCCATGGATTGAGAGGAGGCTGCCAAGGACTAATCTAATATTCGGGGCTGGAATTGCATTTTGTAAGGAGGTGGCAGTGGTTTCCTTTTTCAGCCTGCTCTCATTTTGTTTCCAGTTATAGAGGAGGAGGTGGGCATTGTCCTGCTAAACTGCCTTCAGCTGTCACTCCTTTGGCCCTTGTTTTTCAAAAGTAGTCTCATTTGGCCTGCCTTTCTTCCTGTCTCATGGGAAATGTAATCCCTGGGCAGCGCAGAGTGTGACTTTTTTGCCGTGCCCTGCAGCAGACTTCACTCATCTGCTACCCCAGGTGCTTCGTGGAACCAGGATTTGAAGATAACAGTCAAATAAGGGGGTGGGGGATGGGGAGCATCTCGGGCCATGTGTAAGAACCAGAGAGGCCAGGAATAATGTGTGGGATTAGTTTGAGTAATGGAACAGAAAGGAACAAATGTGATGAGCTAGGCGTTTGGTAATGGAAGAGGCTTGACAAGGTGTACCTGGGGGTGAAGGATCTGTTTCTGTCTCTGGGTTGCGGACCACTCCCGACTGCCTTGCACAAGAATGCAGAGGGTTCTGGAAATCTTCTCATTAGGTGCTGGAGCGTGGGAGTTGCTGACAGGTATTAGCAGGTGGAAGACGGCCGAGGGGCGGGATTCAGGGTGGCAGATTTTTAATTATACCTTTGTTCCTCGATCCTGACTCCTCGGAATCAAGAAAGTGACGATTGAACACATCACTGGGAGGCCAGAAGGGAGTCTGATCTACTTCTTAGCTGTCTAACCTGGGGCAAAAACTCATCACTTCTCCGTGTCTCAGTTTTCTCGTCTGTAAAATGGGGGCAGTACACTCTCACAGGCAGGCTGTGTGGATTAGGAGAGAGAAGCCCCGTAAGTACAGAGCCCAGTACTGGGCACTTTAGTGAGTAAGTGCTTGCTAGGTGATAGCAGCTCTCGGTTTTTACTGTGAAATTCATCCTTTTAGAGAGTTTTCAGATGTAGAGTTGTATTTAGAATGTTGAATCGGTCTTGCAGAAAGTTTTGCCATGCGAAGAGGGGGAAGCACACTGAATATTTGAGCTGACTGGGTAGGGATAGATAGCAAAGAGTGCTACTAACCCTTCACCAGCGTCAAAATCACATTTGTTTCATTTATTTTGGTGTAAAAAAGAACTTGATGAGTGCGGCAAGCACAAAGATTCATCAGGACGTTGTATCTTCCCTCCAGCCCCGCTGTTGGAGCTGAGATGATGCTCACTTGCTCTGTGCCAGGTCCGAGCAGCTTGCTGGGGCTCCAGCAGAGACTGAGATGCAGTCTCTGGTCCCTGGGGCATTTGCCACCTGGCAGGCAGGACAGGTGACTCAGCAGACAGTTTCAGTGTGGGCTGTGTGACAGCGGGGATTGTGTTGGAGGGGACAGGGAGCTGCTGAGGTTCCTAGTCAGCACCGGACGACCCAGGCACTTACGAAGGGGCATCTGATTTCTTACATGGATTTGCACATTGCCAACATAAACTTCATTTTAATGAGCAGAAACTTAGGAGGCTCTGGAAAAACATTCATCTGGGCGAGCAGAGACATGTGACAGAGCAAAATGGGTCTGCTTAGGTTTGTCACCTGGCAGAGAGAGGGGCCTGCATTCACTGAGCGTCTTGCTCTGCGGCAGGCACCCTCCCTTTTACCTTGTCCTGGCTTTGTGAAAAATTAACAGGCCTGAGCCTCAGAGTCCTGCCTGTGCCCAAGGTTAGAAGCTGTGATCCCAGCAGTTCGTCCTGAAATGCAGGGCTAGACAGCACTGAGGAGCGCTCTGCCTTTGCCCTGCCCTGGCCCTCGTCCCCAGGCCTCGCCCCTCCCTGGCTCCCAGGCGGCAGGTGGGAACTTGTCCCGCAGGTCTTGTGTGGAGTAAGGAAAGAAAACACGTCCTTGGGGAAGAGGAAAGTCTGTCTTGCTGTCTTGAAAGGCTCAGTGGAAGCCCCTCCACCAGCCAGTGTCCTCTCTATCCCTCTTTCTCCCTTTGATTATGTCTAGGAAACTCTTGCAAGATCGAGTCTTCAGTTTTCACTTAGATTTGGTGAGGATGTGAATCCACTGAGTTATTTGAAGCCCAGAGACTCTCAGCTGGTTGGGACATTGGATTTAGTTTGCTTCAGAAATGTTTTGAAAACCAACGAGCTGAATAAACAGTAGGGTAAGGTCTGCCCATCGTGGGTCCATGATGGAGGGGAGAGCAAGGGGGGTTCTTTTAAAACCAGAAAACGCCTTGGCAGCAACTGGTCCAACCTCCTCATTTTGCAGGGGGAGGAGCCACGACCCCTCTCAGGATCACATGGCATGAGATGAGAAGGAGGGGGTCCCTGGATCCAGGGTGCAGGCTGTCTGCCACCATGGGGCAGGGGTGGCTCCTACCTGTCGGGGAGTCACCGTGTGCCAGCTCAGTGTAGACAGAGTTCAGGGGGTGGCTCGAGGGCCCTGAGCTGACCTCGGCTCCACGAGTAGCATGGTTAGAGGAAAGTGTGCTGGATCAGGAGCTGGAGATTTCAGCCTTGTTATCACCCAGGACTCCTCCCCTTGTGAGCCTCAATGACCCCTTCCCATCATCTCTGAGGTGTACACGGCTCATTCCCTGAGTCTCCTCCTGACTTTCACACCATAGCGTGCCTCCTGAGGCTCGGAGCACAGACCCAGGGGATGAGCATTGTCCACGAAAGCACACTCACACCACTGGTTGTTCCTGTTTCCTGCATTTCCGAGTGACGTCTGGCTATAGCACCTTGATGAACACAAGCTGGGTCATTTTTAACTTTTCTGCAAATCAGAAGAATCTGTATTTCCTGTTTTGACTTTGATTTTCAAGGTAGCCATTGCTCTCAGCCCTGTCAGCAAATTCTGTGAATTCAGAGTCGCGTTCTATTTGGTTTCCGCAGCTGGGAGGTGTGTTTTCATTGTCCAGGCAAAGGTAGTGGAATTGCATCAGACACATAAGACAGTTCATCTGAGTGAAGGTTAAGTTAAAGGCACTTAGGTGAGTGGCTGAAGAGGACTAGGAGACTCCTGGTGGCTGTTTTGGAGAACTGGCCTCCCCAGTGGAGGTTGGCGGGGGTGGGGAGTCAGATGGGTCTGAAGGACCAAGATCGGTAAATGAAAACTCGGGGCTTCTGCCTTGCTATCCCTATTCTTAGGTGCAGGAGGGTGGCCTTTATCTACGATGTTAAAGGGACTTTCTCAGCGCATCAGGTTGGAGTGAGTTTTCCCCACTGCGTGCTGCATGCTTATATACCACCTGGAGAGACTGACCTCCTCTCTCATCCCTCATCTCTAGAGGGATGTAAGTAAGCTCATTGGTACATCCCCTGGAATCCTGTAGTATTTCCCTCTCCATATCTCTGCTCAGGATTTCCTCTTCAGAACTATCTCCTGATTGAGCATTAGTGTTATCTGTTTAGCAGAAAGAAATGTGTGTTTCCTTGTTCTTCTAAGTCATTTCTTAAAAGACAGGTTTAATGCAGAAAAACTGTAGGATGAGATCTTGAATGTATTGGATCCCAAAAGACGAAAGACAGAATTTCTAGAACCTATGAAGACATTTTTAGATTTTTTTCCTGCCAAGTTATTCTGGGGGGAAAAAGTCTAAATTTCGCCTCTCTGATCCCTTTCAGTTTCTATACTGCATGTACATTCACCAAAATACAAGTCTGTCTGAATTGTGCGTCATATCTTTGTGATTGGAATGATAATGTGTTTCTGGGCTTGCAGCTAAAATTAGAAGTAAACTTCAGACATGTGCCCTCATGGAATCAAAGTTATGGTCTGTAATTTCTTATGAAAAGCTCTTGTTTGCCATCCTTAATATCTGTCTCAAAAATCGAAAAGTAATCAGACCCTATGGAACTGAATTTTACCCATACTACAAGCATTATTAAGCAATAAAAAGTTTTACAAGAATACTTTTGTTTCTTCCTTAGCCACGTGACTGTTTCTCAGTAATTTGGAAAGTGCAGGCTGGGTGACCTTGTTGGGTTTCAGAAAATGAAGACTTTGAAATCTTCAGCCAGTCAGAATCTAACTCCTTGTGAAGAAGTGGAGCCACTGAGAAGGAAGGTCTTTCCTCAGGGTCACCTGGCTGGTCAAGACCCATGATGAGCTGGGACTCAGGTCTCTTAAGTCTGGACACAGTGCACCTTGCCAGAGCCTGTGAAGGAGCTGGGGTTTTGAGAGTGGGTGTCTGGGGAAGATGTTAGGCTGTTCTTTAAAATCAAAGTCATTGGATTAACAACCCAGTCAAAAAATGGACAAAAGACCTAAACAAACATTTCTCCAGTGAAGACATACAAATGGTTAATAGGCATATGAAGAAATGCTCAATATTGCTAAGTATCAGAGAAATGCAAATCAAAACTATGAGGTATCACCTCACACCAGGCAGAATGGCCATCATTAAAAGTCCACAAATGATAAATGCTGGAGAGGCTGGAGAAAAGGGAGCCCTCCTACACTGTTGGTGGGATTGTAGTTTGTTGCAGCTGTTATGGAAAACAGTATGGAGATTTCTCAAAAGACTGAAAATAGACTCACCATGGAATCCAGCAATCCCACTCCTGGGTATATATCCAGAGGGAACTCTGCTTTGAAAAGATACATGCATCCCAGTGTTCATAGCAGGACTATAT